TCTGTATGTGATTCCAAGTTTTTGTTGTTTACATTCCTCTTATGTAATCAATCATGTAACTGAATCCGTCTGTATGAACAGCCATGTGATGATGTTTCACTCGTACTTCTTCATAAATGAACATCATCAACAGCATTTCTGTAGCTTTTTAATCCCAGTGGTCACAGCTCGCCCAAACACATCTCTCTGCCCGGTGTAAACCCCCCCGGGGTATTAGTGTATGTGAGCAGTGAGCTGTCTGGGTGTTGACTGGCGAGGTCAGGGTCAGCTTTGACTCCACCGTCCAGAGCGCTCGCTCACAGGCAGCAGGAGTGATTAACACACTGAGCTGCAAATCTAACACAGGAGCCGGAGCGTCGTAAAGAAAACAACAACTGTACATTGTGCTATATTTAATCCTTACTCTCCGAGGGATACAGCACATATTAAATATTCAAGTGTCAGGAATGAATCTGGAGCACTGCACCCAAAAAATCTGAACCAAACAGCACACTGTTTCTGAGTTTGCTCAAAGTTTGGATCGTTTCGTCATGCTGTTCTATCGACAAGATGACAAGATCGACAGCTGATGCTTTTTGAAAATGAACCTCTGATTTCATTTCAAACCTTTATTAAAGCCTTTAAAGTCACTGAGGTTTCCCTCATTTACAAAGATGTGGAGACAGAAATGAAAACAAAACAAAAAAAGCACAAATAAGACAACAAAGACGGAATGATTCTCAGTAAAAGCAATCAGTCACTGTGGTGAAGTGGTCTGAGATCATTGTCTTAATTTGTCCAAGCGAAACAAGAGTATCATCTATAGATGTTCTCCTTAGTTTCCTCTTGTGCATATTTAAATCATCTCATATCTCACTGTCTGACAGGATCACACTCTGTCATTTATTTCAGGCTATAATATCTGTAAATGTGTCTCTGAGTCATGACTGTCTACAATGAGTAAGAAGCTCCTCCCCTTGTGTATAAAAGCTGTTTTAGTCAAGGACTAGAGAGAAGAAGAAGAACATACTCACTGATTATTTGGATGTTAGTAAGAGTTTTTAGATCACGATCATTCTGTGTTAATTTACATGCAATATGAAGCTACAAGCTAACATTAGCATGCTAACAATGCAGGACACAGGTGATTGCAGCTCAAGCAAAGGACAATTTTGTCTGCTGCTTGTGCTTAATGATGGTGTTTAATGATGGTGCGTTCTAATTGATAACTCCTTCATGTGAACTCGAGTGTAGAGGGGTTGGAGGTGCGTCTCTGGAGGAGAGCTGAGGCTTCAGTATGGAGGAGGTGTGGGGAGGGGGGGGGTTGACAGGTCGGAGGGTGGTGCAGGAGAGAAAGAAGGGGTTTGCAATCACTAAGTTATCAAAGCTAAAGAGTCTGCGCTGCTGTTTGTTCTGTAGCTGGAGCAGGAGAAAGTTAACCAGCGTGTTTTCTACAAAATGAGATTATCTGTGGCTGTAGCCGGTGGGAGTTGTTTAATCATCAGACTTGAGAAGCTGCCAGAGCTCGTGGAGAGAAGTCGACTTGTTGTTCACTGGCCAACATCTCATTGAGGGGGGGGAGTTGTGAGACGGGGAATAAACCAGGTAATTTAGAATAATCTGTCTTCTTCTCACCTTGGTCAAATTCTTTGATAAAAAAGAGAAATCCTGACTACCATGCAAAAGGCAGGTAAAGGTCAGTGTCTGAATCAGCTGAGGTGACACATAGCAGACAGCTAGCAGCTCCCTCCTGAGGCCACACCCCCTAATTTTACACCACTTTAAAGGTTTTATATGTGATTTTTCACACTTAAATGTAATAGAAATCAAGTATATCCTCTGAAAATAACTCTGTGTGTAATGACTGTCTACAATGGGTGTAACACCCGAGTCCCACTGTCTGTGATGATTTCAGAGTTTTCAGAGTCCTATCTTCAGTTTGTTTACATCGCCGGGACGGCCGGCTGACTCCTCCCCTCGTGTATAAAAGTTGTTTAATTGAGGGACTAGAGAAACGAAGAATAACATACTGTACTCACTGCTTAACTGTGTTTCTAGATCACGCTCATTTCAGGTAAATTTACATGCAGTGTGAAGATACGAGCATAATAAAGATCGCTAGCATTAGCATGCTAACACAACAATGCACCGCAAGTTGTTTTGGTTTCATGCTGGTGCTCAAGGGCGACATCTGCTGGATCAAAAAATCACATATAAAGCCTTTAAGTCTTAATTTAATAAGGTGAGTTTTATAAATTAATAATAATAATATATTCAACATCACAACTGTGTTCCTGAATAGAAGAATTGGTTTTAGAAACAAAAAAATGTTTTTCTGTACTGTTCAGGAAACAGTTTTATTTCACCTGTAAAGTTTGAAATTTGACTTTGAGGCCAGCGAGGGATTGAGTTACCTTTAGAGTCAGCCTCATTCGATCTAATTGCAATCGTCTAAGCATCTGCAGTGTCTTTTGACTCATATCTCAGCTCAGGAAGTAACATATAAGATTTGGGCTGGATAGGAAACTTCCTGACATGAGCTTAGATTTGAAATAAAGGCTGGAAAGCAGAGTTTCTTAATGACTCACTGGGCGGATCAGTGAGGTTTAAAACGTAACAGGAAATCGATACGAGCAGTCAGGACTGTGTGTCCTTAAGCAGACCTTTCCTTTGTACTCCTGCACAGAGTCGGGGTTCTGTTTTAATTTACACTGCAGCTTTCATTCTTTTCCGCTCTCTGTTCTCAGACTTCCACATTTCTCTTTGCCTCTGACCTTCTCTTCCTCTGCACAGTTTCATGTGTGTTTGCTTTGCCTTTGCTTTGAGGTACGTGTCTGTGTTACCGATTCAGCATGAAAAATGTGCCGCTCCGCCTCAATTGTACGAGTCGCAGCCTTTCAGGGGGAAATTTTCCATTCAACAATGCCATATAACATCTGTATAATGCAAAACATTGTCCTCCTTACAAAGTTAACCTTCTTCTTTTTGAATGCCAGGAGATTCTGATTTATTTTAAAGTAAAGTTCAATAAACAACCGAGAAACTGCCGAGGAACAAAAATGAGGTTAGTCTTACTCACATGTTTAATATTGTAATAAGGTCCCTTTACGAATGAAATAAATCTAAAATTAAAAACCTTATGTGCAATCTGTGTCTGCGATTGAAGAGGTTTCAGACGACCCAGATGTCTGAAACAGAAGTGAAGCGCGGCCAAGGTGAATGTAGAGTAACAGAACAAGCTCATACATAGCAATGCAACCTCATTCTCAAGTTTTTCATCGTTTCAGGGGGTTTAAACTAAAACTTTAAAGGTCACATATTATCCAAAACACACTTCTCCATGTTTCTCTAACTCTAACATGTGTCTCTAGTCTGTCTACAAACCCCCCAATGATGAGAAATGTCCATCCTCTCCGTCTTTAGCCTGCTCCACTTTTCAGAAAATGTGTGCTCAAACAGGCTGTTTGGAGATTTTCCCTTCGTGACATCACAAAGGGCAGTAGCCCCTCCCCCAGGTGGGTGACACTCCCACAGCTAGCTGTTTGTTCTGCCGTCTGAGTCTGCCTTCTCACCGTAAACAACAGGACATGGAGCGAGAAAGCACCGAGTACACCCAAGCCCTTCCAGAGAGGGGGTGTGGTCAGACACAGCTCATTTACATATTTAAAGGTACAGACACAAAAGCAGCCTGTTCTGAGCAGGGCTGAAATAGAGGGGTTTATAGACATGATCAAATACAGGATCAGAGTGGATTTAGAACAAGAAACTCCACACACATGTTTTGAGAAGCTCTGAGACTTATTTACACTGGTTGAAGAGGAGGAGGATATGTGACCTTTAAGTTTAGCAGGGCTGCACTTCATGTGTCTGATAAAAAGGAACTTCAAGTCAAACTAAGTCCTGTTGTTACATGTCGATGACGGTGATGGCTGTAGTTGTTCCAGTTCAACATCTCTTCCATCGACATTGGTCTCCTGGGAGAAGCAGATAGTACAGGACCATCAGGGCCGCTGTCGTCTTAGGAGACATTAAACTGATGTATTGCTCTAAAGGAGACAGGCTGTTAGATTTGCAATCGGCGGGGAAAGGAGGCTTCAATGTTGCAACCTTCAATAACAAGGGAGAACCAGGGACACTCGTAGTCTAACTGTTAGTGCATGCCCCATGTACAGAGGCTTAAGCCCACGTAAAGGTTCGATTCCGATCGGTGGCCCCTGTTCAGTATGTCGGCCCCCATGCACCTTCTCCTCTCCCAAGTTTCTCTAAAATACGGGCGTTAAAGTCTAAACTCTGTATTAAGACGATGCATGAGAGGGTCATCCAGGACAACCTTCGCTTTCTGATTGGCTCTTAACTGAAAAACACAGCCCAGATTATTCAAGTCAATGCCGAGGTAGCCAAACCAGCAGATCATTAAAAGAATTGTCAACATTAAACGGCCTGTAATTGGCTGTTTTTTTGCAGCCGGCGTCAGTGTTAGCATCAAAGATGTCTTCTGTGTTGTGAAATTTTAGTCCTACAACAAATCTGCTAAACCAATCGTGATCGTCGGTCTCTTTAATCCATCTGGAAGTTGTCTCCTGTGTCTCCTGAGCAGAAGCGGGTTTAACCACAAAGCGAGCAGAGAACAGAAGCAGGATGTGTGTTGCTTCTGCAAACACTGGGTGTCTTTAATCTTCTGCTGATCCTACGGTTTACATATTGGCTTACATGATGTCAAGTGTTCACGTCGTGCTGACCTCCCTGAAAAGATTTTAACGCAGCACGGGAGATGTTTGCATCGCGGGGCGTCCATGTCGACTCAGCTTTAATCTGCACAAAGCAGAGAGGGAGCGAAGTGGAGGTCTGCCGGCTGCAGGGTGATTAACAGAGAGGCTGCTGAGTGCAGGTCAACACGTCCACAGAAGCTCTCACAGCCGATTGTAAATGTATGGAAACATTACGTAACATCACAGTGGACTATAGGATCCATACAGGGGAGGGATTTATTTAATCTTGTTTTTTTTCTCTTTCTGCCACAGGTTATTTAACGGTCTCCATTGACCCCCTCCCTCACGTCGTCATCGGAGACACGGTGACTCTGAAGTGTAACTTCCAAACGGATGGGAACCTGCGAGAGATCGTGTGGTTCCGGGTGAGCACGCAGGTGAACTTAATGTGAAAGCAGCTGCCTGTCAGCTTGAGTCTGCGTCTGACTCATGAATCTCCTCCTCCTGCACTCGATGTGTCTGTGTGCAAATACTCAGTACAGTGAAGCACCGTCTTCAGATCAACTTTACTTCATCTGTCACATGAAGTCTTTGCCCAAATACTCCTCACACTCTGACTCTGTAGAGATTCAATTCTAGATGTTTTCTGAGACCTGGTTTGATTCCCATGGGAAGGTTCAAATAAAAATAATGACATTTTGGGTGCTGGTGGCCTAGTGGTTAGTGAACGAATCTTAAAGAAAAATAAAATAAAGAATGTACTAAAATAACTAAAGTGAAGATGAGGGGCATTGTTTTTTTTGTTTTTTTAAATTATTTTTATTATAGTAACACCCAATAGACAAACAAAAACACAAGAGGTACACTTCACCTCCATAAAGCCAGGACAAAACAAAACACAGTAAAACAAAGAAAAAACAAACAAAAGAAACAAAACAAAACAAAAACGAACAAAAAATAAAAATAAAAAGCAAGACCCTTTCCGCCCCCATCAACCATCAAACCAGTTCCTGCCCTCCCCCATCCCACCCCAATCTTTAGGGGCATTGTTAAAAGAATAATTAAAATTGAATTGAGTGGCGCTGGTGGCGCAGTGGTTGGTGTGCGCCCCATATATGGATGCCATGGTCCTCCATGCGTGCGGCACAGATTTGAATCCCACCTGTGACTCCTTTCCCGCATGTCATTCCCTACTCTCTCTCTCTCCCTGATTTCTGACTCTATACACTGTCCTGTCTCTCCATTAAAGGCCCCAAAAGCCCCAAAAATACATCTAAAATAGGAAAAAATTAAAGAAAAAAGTTTGCATCCATTAGGGGGTCTAGTGTTTATTGTTTTTCCCATTCGGAGTTGAACCAATCACAGGCCTGACATATATATCACACTTACAGACAATTTAGAGTCTCCAGTTAACCTAACCAGCATGTCTTTAGACTGTGGGAGGAAGACGGAGAGAACCCACACATGCACGGGGAGAACATGCAGACTCCACACAGAGAGAGACTCCTGACAGACGAGGATTCAAACCAGGAACCTCCTCACTGTGAGGCGACAGCACTAACCACTGTACATCCACGCAGCCCTCAACTTAAAGATGATCAGATATAATATATGACCTAAAAAGTCAAATATAGTGAACTCACTACAGGTTGAGAATATAGACGAGAGAAGATTAGACAGGTGTTGTCGTGTCTTTAAACTGGAACACGTGTCACTGTGTCTTTTCTGCAGGATTTCAAAGTACTAAAGTAAACTTCATGAAGTAATGTTTCAATAGTCTTTATTAACATGCACATCCATTCATAACGATGTGCTCTCCACCTCTCAGGTGACTGAAGGAGGCAACGCAAAGCAGAAGATTTTCACCTACGATGCCATGTACAACACCAGCTACTCTCACCTGGAGGACAACAAGAAACGGGAGGACCTGGTCTACAGGTCCACTGTACGGTAAGGCTGGACTTTAACATGCTTTAATTTTTATAGTCAGGAGAGGCTTGTCTTGCAATAAATAAATAAAAATTTTAAAAAAAGAAAAAAAAGAAAAAAAAGAAAAAAGAAGAAAAGAAAGAAAAGAAAGAAAAGAAAAGAAAAGAAAAGAAACAACCCACCGAAAATATTTTGTCAATTTAGAAACATTTTCACTAAAACCAATCAACACTTTGTTCCAACATTTTTTAGTCAGTATTCTTTGCCTTCTCAGGGACCTCTTCATGCTCAAGGTCAAGGTCAAGGTTTCTTTATTCTTCTCCCTAGGGAGAAATTTGTCTCGGATACTGGGAAGTTGCTGCATGGACAATACATCAAAACAATATAAAAACAGTAATTACAAATGTGCTCTCTTTCTGTAAGGCTTGGACAGAAACAGGGAGAAGGTCTTTTGGGTATTTCTGCTTTCAGAGGCGGTGCTTGTCAACAGGCAAAGCAGAGCGATCGCTTAAGGCCTCAGTCCAGTAAGGGACTGAGGCCTGACGGACTTTAAACCACAGCAGTGACGCATCTAACAACATTCATTCTCATTGCACCACCGAGCGCTGCATGCATTATTCCTGTGAGAACCCGAGTTTGTCAACGTCACCCAAGAATGAAGAGGAAATATCCGAATAGAAGCGAAAATAGAAAGCAAGATGTTGGATCAAGTGTCCTAATGGTTACTATTATTTATAACATAAAGGGATAAAGGGGATGAATGCTGGTTGGAGGACTCTAGAATCACCGCAGCCTGGAGTCTGTCGCAGAATGACTTGAAACTCGAGTAGTTGATTTCCTAACTAAAAGACCTGGAAGCAGATTCTACAGGATGTCGATGTTTTAACCTCGACTGCTTGAACTATTGACTCCCAGATTTGTCTCATAGATGGTTTTGTATTTTGTCTCTGTTTGTGTCTCTGTCTGTTACTTTGTGTTTTTTGTGTACTCTTATCTGAATCAGAATTGCCAAGTACATTTACACATACAAGGAATTTGACTTGGTGTATTGGTGCTAAACAATTAACAAGGAAATAAAGCAGAACTAGCAACAACTTAAATAATACAGTATAAGAAGCAACATATTTTTACAACACATAAAATAGAATTAAAAAATTTAAGATATAAAATATAAAAATAAAAAACACAAAATGTACAACAATGTAGGAGCTGTGCAGTGGACTATGAGAAAAAATCTTAATGTGTGTAACTACTCACAGAGTGCATGTAAGGAAGATACATTTTTGAAGTCCAGTGAGCATTAATGTAATACATAAAGAACAGTTTCAGCATTCACATTACTTTGATGTCTCTTAACATTTCTTTGTAAAAACATAAAATCATTCAGTCTCCTTCCCTTTCCATTACCGGACAACATCTGTGTATAAAGTGTCTCATTTGTGTCTGTGTGTGTTTTCTTAAAGTCTCCCCGAGGTGCAGATGGAGGACGATGGCCTGTACGAGTGTCACGTGGGGATCTACGACCGGCGCTCCAGAGATAAAGTGATCCTCGCCTCCGGCAGCATCATCCTCACTGTCATAGGTGTGTTTTTATATCGCAGGTCAGACCGTGAATATTAAAACCAGGGGGGGGGGGGGAGATGAGCACACTCATTAGGATTCTTTTTATTGCACATTATTTCACCATAAAGAAAGATTTCCACCTCATTGTGACTCTGTGCATGCAGACATGATAGATATCTGAACCTCTGAGTTTACAGAAAGTGTAAGTCAGCTCATTTAACAGAACATATTCCTTTGATGAAAATGAAATCCAACTGATTTCACACACTTGAAGCTGCTTCAGCTCAGTCTCCACCTGCACTCGACTTATCACTTAACCCTGATTTTTCTGCCTTTAATACACTTTATGCATATTTCCCATCGATAAAGCTGCTTCTGTGTTTGAACTCTTCAGTGCCTCCAAAGTCTATCTCTGTGGTGGCAGCCGACAGCCCGGCTCCTTTCAGCCGCTACGAGGCCCAGAACTTCTCTCTGGTCTGCATTGTGACAGGAGCCAAGCCGGCCCCCGTGGTGAGACTCTCTCCTCTTTTATCTCTCTGCAAGGACTCGCTCTCTGTAATCGAAATCTGCGTCACTCCTCTGTGTGTCTGACTGGAAAACGTTTTTTGGAAAATCCTGATGGTGTGAGGGAGAGAGAGGATGTCGATACCCTCGCCGCAGAATGAAAAGGAAAAAGCTTTGCTTGGCTTTTAAAAATGAAACAATAAGAAATTCCCTAATCAGTCAACACTGCCGCTCCAGCGTTTGTTTGCACCCTGTTTGACCTTTAATGAGAAACGTGTTGAGGACTGATGTCAGTGGATTAGAGCTCAGCTGCATATTGTGATGAAATAAAACTGCATCCATGTGTAATAATAGTCCTGAACTAAGCGCTGTTATCTTCTTCACTGTTCAACATCTCTGACCGTCTGGGGATCCGCGCTGCACACAGCAGCAGGTTATAAAGTGATAACAGGGATGTCTGTGGTCAAATTGGAAATAAACAGGATAAAAAGCAGCTTTTGGCTATAAGCTGTCCGCTAACACACACACATCATGCGGACACACACACACACACACACACACACACACACACACACACACACACACACACACACACACACACACACACACAGCTATAAATGCAGCAGTGTGTGCACAGAGAGTTCCGCTGTATTGTTTTTGAACGAGGGTCATTTAATATTCGAGATAATGTCAGAGTGCATTTCCTCTAAATGACCCACAGATAGAGGTTGTGCAGAAATAGAAAATGTAATATCCACAGATAACATTTGTGTTAGTGCAAAAAGAGAAAAAGACATCTTCATAATTTATTTATGTTTCCAAATGTTGTGCACACTCTGAGGTTACTTTTTGAGTATTTATTCATCATAATAATTTATCTGAAACTCGCCTTTTTTTGCAAAGATGCTGCCCGAAAAAAGAAGACGAGCTGAAGATGAACGAGAAGTACAAGATAGAAATGAGAGCTAGAGGTCGAGGAAGAAACAAATAAATACTTAAGGACATATAGAAAAGATTTTGTATGCAGAGCTGGGGAGGTTTTTTCTGATGCAGAAACTGTGATTGCGTTTGCAGATCTAATATCCAAAGGGAGAGTGTTTCACAGTTTAGGGCCATAAAAACACAAAGTAGTCTCATCAGATTTGGTGTGTGACAGAGCGGGGACGTCTGAAGGAGTCGTTTCAATCTTAAGTTAAAAAAAAACCAGAATGTCACTTTAAACATGGCTGGTGGTGAGAAGCGAGTGATGGATGATATCCACATGGAGCTCCAGTCGGACGGAGGAGCGAATTATTAAGCCCCATGTTGGAGTGATTGAAAGATGAAGGGCGTATTCAAACCTGATCTGTTTGGTTTGGTTAAAGCGAACTCCTGTATTTGATCATGTCTATAAACCCCTCTATTTCAGCCCTGCTCAGAACAGGCTGTTTCTGTGTCTGTACCTTTAAATATGTAAATGAGCTGTGTCTGACCACGCCCCCTCTCTGGAAGGGCTCTCTCTCTCCATGTCCTATTGTTTACGGTGAGAAGGCAGACTCAGAGGGCAGAACAAACACCTAGCTGTTGGAGTGTCACCCACCTGGGGGAGGGGCTACTGCCCTTTGTGATGTCATGAAGGGAAAATCTGCAAACTTTGCCAAGTTAGCACGGTTTCTTTATGTTGGTGTGAAATCTGTCAATCAAACGCTGTTGCAAACCAAACAACTGTATCAAGACCGCTTGTAAAGGTGGGTCTCGGTGCACTATTTTCAGACTTTGGTGTGGAACATGAATGGACCTCTATCAAACCAAATTGCAGGAAGCAACCACAGGGGGTGCTGATGGCTTAGCAGTTAGGTTGAGCCCCATGTACGGAGGCTTTGGTCCTCCAAGTGGGGCAGTTCTAGTCTTACCTGTGGCTCCTTTCTCGCATCTCATTCCCAGCTCGCTCTCCCTGGTTTCCTACTCTATCCAAAGGAGTCCAAATAAAATTTTTTTAAAAAGTAACCACCATGGGCCCTCTTTGTTCACCATTGGAGACAGGCAGACCCGACAGAGCTTCAGTTAACAGTTACTGAAACAGTTTGGGTGGATGAGCAGGTCCTGGTTCAGGAGGATTAACGTGCTCCTTGCCCTGAACTTTCTTTTTAAGCGTCTTCAGTGACTCCAGAACTTCAGCTTATTATTTCAGAGCCTCAGTTTTTGTGTTCCTGTGCAGCTCACCTGTTTCTGTCCGTCCTCTCAGGTGTACTTTAAGCGGGATGGGGAGCTTATCGATGTGGTTCCACCTGGCCAGTCTCCCTCTTCAAAAGGAGAACAAAACAAGAAACCAGGAAAGAGCCGGGGACGGAGCCGAGCGGGACTCCTGAGCTCTCAGATCCACGTCAGCCGAGACCTGGACGACACCAAACTCCAGAAGTCCCCGTCCCCGCCCGAGAAGCAGGGCAAACCGGCCCGGCTCGGACAAGACGGACCCGAACCGGGCCGGGAGCAAGCGCCCCAGCCGGGCCCGGAGCAGACCACCGAGGTGATCCCGGAGACGGTGGTGAGCTGGGAGTTTCCCCGCTGGGTCCAGAGCAGTGACCCACTATACTACTTCCAGCACCGACAGCAGGCGGTGGGCGACGGCACCATGGAGGTGAGAGCCATGCTGACCTGGAGCCTGAACCCCCAGCTGGACAACGAGGCTCTGTTCAGCTGTGAGGTCAACCACCCGGCTCTGTCCATGCCCATGCAGGCCGAGGTCACACTGGGTGAGTCACACGGGCCAAAAGTTCAGTTTGTCTCTTTTAACTGCTGAAAATGAAACATCTCCAGAAAAGAGTTTAAAGGGATTTTTCACACTTAAAAGTAATAGAAATCAAGTCTATCCTCTGAAAATAACTCTGTGAGTCATGACTGTCTACAATGGGTGTAACACCTGAGTCCCACTGTCTGTGATGTTTTCAGAGTTTTCAGAGTCCTATCTTCAGTTTGTTTACATCGCCAGGACGGCCGGCTGACTCCTCCCCTCCCGTATAAAAGTTGTTTAATTGAGGGACAAGAGAAAAGAAGAATAACATACTGTACTCACTGCTTAACTGTGTTTCTAGATCACGCTCATTTCAGGTAAATTTACATGCAGTGTGAAGATACGAGCATAATAAAGATCACTAGAATTAGCATGCTAACACAACAATGCAGCGCAAGTTGTTTTGGTTTCATGCTGGTGCTCAAGGGCGACATCTGCTGGATCATCGTGTAGCTGAACGTCCTGAATGCTTTTTGGTTCCGTTCTACTCCATCCACCGTCCTATCTGCAAAAGACAAGAAGCCCAAAAATAAATCTTAGACATAAATAAACAGCTAATTGTGCAAAAACGTTTCCTTCATTCAAAGAAATATGAGAGCAAGGTAAATGATTTGTGTCCTGCATTCTCAACAGCTCTACATCTGGAAATCTTTCCCTCAATAAGACGAGTTTGATTAATTTCTCCTCCGCCATTTGTTGTTGACAAAGCTGATATCATAAGCCCCGCCGCTTCTTGATTATGACTGGATGGTGATGGAGACGTGATATTGATAAAAGCAGCAATGGTCCAAAAAGTTGAACTAACTGAGAGCGAAGTGACTAAAGCTGAAGACGCTGCACTGCGCTGGTGTATTTAAAATTTAAATTTAAAAAACAGCTTTTGATTGATTTTTCATGGTTTGTTCCTGCAACCATACTCACCTGAGAAACGTGTTTAGGCTGTGCAACGGGTACCCTGTTTGCCATTTATGAAAAAATAAACTCAGGGATATAAAATTATGTTGTTTTTAAAGTGCATAATGTGCGTGTGCATGCAGAAATCAATGACCCAGTTGAGCCAGCTAAGGTGAAAGTCGGGACATCCCCGAGAAATCCACAGTCACCGTGTCCAAAAGGCACTCAGCAGACTATCTGCAAACTTTTAGAGAACTTTTTGGTCTTCATATATTTAGCTTCCCTGCAGGTCACTGTGATCTCCTGTCAATAATTAGAAAGGTTCAAATAATGAATGAATTCAAAAGTAACATGAAATATGTGATACTAAACAGTGGGGTAGTGCAGCGTATACGCAGGTATATGGAACATACACACTTATTTTTCAGTCTCCATAGGGTACACTTCCTTTTAAATCCCTGCTGATTCACATCATTGATTCATTGATTATATTCAGTAGCATGTTTTTTTTCTTCCAAGGATGGTAAAGGGACGACCCTGGTACTAAATACACAAGAGGAGTCCTGCATGTCATTGTTTATAGCAGAGGCCGTCTATCCGCTACTGGACGGAACACTTAACCACTTCCCCCACTGATACCAATAAACCTGAAAGTATTCGCTGTAGATCCTGAGGTCTTTCTTTTGTCATAACCCGGTTCGTGGGTCACGGCAAAAAATGGGAGGAGTCAGAAGTTATCAAAGAAAACATATTAATTATTACAAAATTAGGCAAATATATCAAATAACAAAAGTGTTTAATCTGTATCATCAGTGGTGAACAACTGTGCACATGTCCGTCAGGCTGTGAGAGAGAGAGAGAGAGAGAGAGAGAGAGACAGAGAGAGAGAGAGACAGAGAGAGAGAGAGAGAGAGAGACAGAGAGAGAGAGAGACAGAGAGAGAGAGAGACAGAGAGAGACAGAGAGAGAGAGAGAGACAGAGAGAGAGAGAGAGAGAGAGAGAGAGATGCACACAGGAAGCTGGGATTTTACATCCTGGGTGGAGCAATGAGCCCAGGTGCTCCAAATCTAGGAGCACATGAGACATACACACACGCACACACATTATGCAGAGGCCGTCACACTATCAGCACCTACAGTAATGAACCCTGCACCCATCCCGACAGGATGCAATGAAGTTAACCAGTCTCAGTATGCGTGATGAAGTAAGTGAGGGCTCAGTTTGCTTTTCAAAAACGGGACATTTGGATTCAGCTCTAAGGCTGTTCCAGGCTGTCTTTGTTGTGATTGAAGCGGTGAGTAAAGAAGTCGAGGAGGTTTGGGGTCAGTCAACACGATGACTCAGGTCACCACAGTAAATAAACAGACTGTCCTGTAAACAGTGGAGTCAGACTCACTCCCAGGAGTCCTGACACAGACGAGGATGTGAAGAGGCCGAGGAGCTAATGAGGTGAATGAGAGCTGCGGACATTTACACTTCAACACAAGCACAGAACAAATTCAGAACTTTAGAGGACTCAACAAGGTCGGGCTGCCGGGTTCATTTATTCAGACAAACAGGAAGTGAGCACAGCTTCTCTCCAGCTGGTGGATGTGCTGAGAGCAGGAGGGTACATCCTTGAAATCCTTGAAAAAGCCCCAGCACTTTGTCGTTTATTTACACCATTATTCCTGCTCTTATGATTTTGTCCTAATGTTGCCTAACTTCCTTTTAGTGTTTTTTTAAATGAAGATATAGAACTTCCTTTTTATAATTTTTCTTTTACTCTCTACCAGCTGCTCCCAGAGGACCCAAGCTGTCCATGACCCCCGATCGAGCCACAGTGGGGGACACAGTGCGGATCACAGTCCAGGGCTTCCAGCTCGGACCCTCAGCGGTGAGTTTCATTCTTTGATCAGAAACAGCTCGCAGAATGTCGTCAATAAGAAGGATGCATTCCCTCTACAAAGAGGACCATGTTTTTTGAAGATTTTTTGGAGTGAGTTTCTCCCCTCCAGGCAACGATTGGTTTCACTTTCTTTTCTGCCCACTTTGAAAGCCGTGGTGCAGAGACTCCTCTTGGAAGCTGTTTCTCCAAACCAGCTCTTTAGGAGAAATGCAGAGATTCTGATTTCTATTGGGCTTCATAATAACATTTGTGAGAGCAGAGGTATTTAGATTTCTGAATCAAGTGTTGTGTACTGAAAAGAAAAGTGTGTGTGTGTCTGTGGATTAAAACTCACTCTCTGGAGGTATTTTATTAATAAAGCTAGGAGTAGATTCTAAGTTACAGTTCACACATTTTGCACAGAATAAAAACTGAGGTGCTATTTTTGCCTGGTGGTGCAGCAGCCTGCAGCAATGCTCCTGGAGGAGGAAGATGATGAGGAGGGAGGAGGAGGAGGAGGGAGGAGGGGACGAGGGAGAAGAGGATGGAGGAGAGGAGGAGGAGGAGGAGGAGGGAGGAGAGGATGGAGGAGAGAGGAGGGAGAAGAGAAGAGGAGGAGAAGGGAGGAGAGAGGAGGAGGATGAGGGGGAGGAAGGGAGGAGACGAGGGAGGAGAGAGGAGAGGGAGGAGGAGGGAGGAGAGAGGAGGTAGCTCAAGGACACTTTAGATGGATAGATGAGCTCTTATGATAATTTTGAAACACATTTAGATGCAAATGATTTTCACATCAAACAAATAAATCTGTTTCCTACATCCTGATGTTCCTAAAGTTCCACCCTCGAGGGCGGTGGGGGGGGGGGGGTCTGATTTTAAACTCTGGTTCTGGTTCTTTCTTGGAAAATCTCTGTTTGGCAGGTTATTGGTCTGACTGTTCATTACTTTTCGTCTGGGGTGCCACTAGCCTAGCGGTTATGACGCATGCACCTGTACAGAGGCTTTAGTCCTCTGCACAGCGGCCGTGGGTTTGAATCTGACCTCTGCCCTTTACTGCATGTCACCCCCCCACAGCATCTCCTGTCTCTCATCAGCTGTCCTCTCTAATAAAGACAAAAAGGTCCAAAAAATAACTCAAGAAAATGTTGACAACCTTAGTTTAGTATCTCAGCATCTGAAGAGGAATAAAAGCTCATATTTGTCCAATCACATACGTTCTAAAAAGAGCTGGACATCCAGATGATTCTTCTCCGATCACTGACCGACAGCAGCAGCTGGATTATGAAGAATATGTGATGCAGATTTGTCCTGACTTTAAATAAATTAAGTTTAAAAAACATGCACAGATAGTTTTTAAGTCCTGAGTTTAAAGAAATATATGATAAAAACATCAAAAAAACATGCAGATGGTTATGCCTTTGATATTCAGACAGTGGTGTAGCTAATCAGTGATACGTTTGAACATGATGAGCTGGATTAGTTGGGACGCGCAGGGTAAAAAAAAAAAAAAAAAAAAAAAAAAAAGGGCGACTGATGTTGGTGGGTGTCGTTCTCCCTCGTGACCCGACGCTGACAGCTGAAGCTTTGAAATCAGAACTTCTTGTGACGGTTCAGAGGAACTGGAGAGCCAGAGTCGGGGACTTTTAGAGATGTCTGCGCATAAAGAATGAAGCAAAGGCTGAGGAGTGACATTTATTTATTACGTTCATTTTTTTAACAGACGTAAGCTGCAAAATACTTCACAAGGATTTGATGCAACATGTCTCAAAGACCCAAAGCAACTATCTCTCTCTCCAATTTTTAAAAACACATCTGTAGTTTAAACTGCAGAGCCAGAGATGCATATACAGCCCTTTATGTCATCTTGCATTGACTCTTGTTACACCTTCTCCATCATTTGAATGTCCCTTCCCGATCGTCTGGATCCAGAACTCTGCTGCAGGTCGTCTCACTCCATCAAACCGACAGTCTCACATTTCCTCTTGTGCTTAGATCTCTTCACTGCTCTTCCCCCATGTGCATGCAGACTCCAGTTCAACATTTCCACCATTTACTCCAGAGCTTTTGCACGGTCAGGCTCCCCGGCATATGTGGCTGAACTAATCCCCCCACCCCCCACACTCATCATCAGGCCCCCTCAGGTCAAATATGTTAAATCTGCTGGTTACCAGGCTCTCGCCTCCACTGAGCCTCTATGAATATCACTCCAAATAATAATAATAATGCAAACATGATATCACAGTGAGAACCTTTTTATTATCAGCTGAAATATGAGCTGAAGTAGATTTTTAGAGATTCATGCAAACGTCTTTATTTTATGAATATGAACATGAATAAGAAGGCGGTTCATGTAGTACAGTCTTACAAAGACAAATTTACTGATGCTCCAGGAAGACAAACATACTCTCTTATACCAGACACTTAAAGGCTTTATATGCGATCTTTTGATCCAGTAGATGTCGCCCTTGAGCACCAGCATGAAACTAAAACAACTTGCGCTGCATTGTTGTGTTAGCATGCTAATGCTAGCGATCTTTATTATGCTCGTATCTTCACACTGCATGTAAATTTACCTGAAATGAGCGTGATCTAGAAACACAGTTAAGCAGTGAGTACAGTATGTTATTCTTCTTTTCTCTAGTCCCTCAATTAAACAACTTTTATACGCGAGGGGAGGAGTCAGTCGGCCGTCCCGGCGATGTAAACAAACTGAAGATAGGACTCTGAAAATTCTGAAAGCATCACAGACAGTGGGACTCGAGTGTTACACCCATTGTAGACAGTCATGACTCACAGGGTTATTTTCAGAGGATAGACTTGATTTCCTATTATTTTTAAGTGTGAAAAATCGCATATAAAGCCTTTAAGTCAAACTTGACCTGAACTGTTTTACTCATGTTTCATTCTCCACAATCAGCGGGCAAATGAGAAGTGCGCCCTCCCAGTTTGTCGGTTCCCCGTCTCTGTCCCTGTGATGTCAGCATATTAAACACGTCTGCAGATGAGCATTGAGGTCTGATCCAAGGCACCCAAACTCTTCTTATGAGCTGATGTCTCAAAAAGTGAGCTGTCTGACTGTGAAGAAGTTAAGCAAGAACTGAAGACCTGACCCACATTATCACACACAAACAAGCAGGAAATGGCTAGTGGAGGGTTAGGGGTTCAGCTGTCAGAGTCGTGTCTCGCTCACTGCCGAGTTCTTTGGGTTGTGTTTTGAGTCCAAATGCACAGAGCGAGATCAGACAGGAAATGAAGGGGGGGGGGGGGGGGGACTTGATTTATGTTTGAGAAGGCTGAGAGAGCTTTCAGATATCTGTCACAGCTGTCTTCATTGTTGGCAGAATATTTCAAACCAGCTTGAATGTCAGCTGGGTTCTCCTGTCATCCAACCTTTTGAGTTTAAAAACAATCAAATCATGAAGATCAGCTCAACGAAGCGTCCCGACCTGAAGCGTCCTCTGAGAACAGCAGCTGCCTCTGACCAAGAAGTTGCATGATAACCTTTTAGTTAAAAGAAAAAAAAAAAAAAAAAAAGAAAAGATCACAGATTTCTCAAAGTCAGACTTCCTCAACAAGGCATTACCCACATTTTGGATTCTTTACACCACCTGCCTGCCTGTTAGCTGCGGGTAGGTGTGCAGAGCTGCGGTCTCTCCCTCAGGCCTGCTACACTTCAAATTGTGAGAGATGACTGAATCTCTGCTGTCAGAACCCCGCAGCTCTGAAACAACCTGCCTGATTTCGTCAGGCAGGTTGTTTCAGTGTCAGCTTTGATAAAACTTTACAGGAAAGAACATTTTCTATGGAAAGTCGATCTGTAAGTGAAGTCTGGGAACTGATTTCTCTTGTCCTTTTTCTCGTATAAAAACATAATATCAGTGTAAAAATGTCTGAATGTTGTGTGTGTGTCCACAGAGCGAGGTGTTCCCTGAGCCCATGTTCACCTGGACCAGAGTCGGGGGTCGTCTCCTGGATGGCAGCGAGACTCATGACGGACGAGAACTCGTCCTGGACAGAGTTCCTGCTGAGCTCAACGGCTCCATGTTTCGCTGCACGGCCGAGAATCCTCTGGGCTCCACGGACACACACACGCGCCTCATAGTGTTCGGTGAGTCTGTTTGTGTAGTTTTGGTTTATTCATTATTATTTGTTCCATGTGCTCGGATTTTAAATGTGTTTTTTTTTTTTCATGTCTGTGTTTTTATTTTTTATTTTTTTACAGAAAACCCAAGATTAAAGAAAGGAAAAGAACGTTTTGTTGGTAGGTCTTTGTTTTAAGTTGTTGCTTCAGTCTCTCTTCAAACTTTGACAACTACAGTATATAATTTCTCATCCATGTTTTAAATAAACTTCTCTCTTTATGCTACAACCACCTAAGCAATTTTAACCAGCATAATAATCCAAGAATCCTTCTTTGTGCAGCAATAAAATATGAAGCTAACTGTTAGCTACTGGTTCAATTTAAAGGTCACATATCATCTTCCTCCTCTTCAAATAAGTCTGAGAGCTCCTCAAAACATGTGTGTGAAGTTTCTTGTTCTAAATCCACTCTGATCCTGTATTTGATCATGTCTATAAACCCCTCTATTTCAGCCCTGCTCAGAACAGGCTGTTTCTGTGTCTGTACCTTTAAATATGTAAATGAGCTGTGTCTGACCACGCCCCCTCTCTGGAAAGGCTTGGGTGTCTCGGTCTTTCACGCTCCATGGCCTATTTACGGTGAGAAGGCAGACTCAGAGGGCAGAACAAACACCTAGCTGTGGGAGTGTCACCCACCTGGGGGCTACTGCCCTTTGTGATGTCATGAAGGGAAAATCTCAGCCTGTTTGAGCACACATTTACTGAAAAGTGGAGCAAGCAAAAGACGGAGAGGATGGACTTTTCTCATCATTGGGGGGTTTGTAGACAGAGTAGAGACACATGTTAGAGTTAGAGGAACATGGTGAAGTGGATTCTGTATAATATGTGACCTTTAAATCAAAATCAAGAACTGGTCTGAATATACCTTTAAATTAAAATTCTGTGCGAGATAATTTCCTTTAAGAAAAAAATAACTGCCACAAACTATGTGCTATTATTTATGTAATGAGTGAATTACTGAAGAATCCAGTGAATTTTATTTTTTGCGTTTTGTTGATTTTTGTCTTTCCTGAATGTTGTGACATTTAATCGTATTGTCATATTACTGTAAGTCATTTTATGATTTTATGTTTTAATTTTTGCCTGTACATAATAAATAAATAAAAATATAGAGCTTCAAATTGCTATATATATTTATAACTTAAAATAAATTATATAAAAAGAGTTTAAAAATTGTGTAAAATAAAGTAGGACACAATCATTTGATAAATAATGCTCTTTGGAAATATAGATATAGACTTGTATCATCTGCATAAAAAAACACAAATATTCTAATAAATTAGAGCGGCTGTGGTTCAGTGGTAGAGTTGGTCGCCTCTCAACCGGAAGGTTTTGGCCGACACCATCTTGGTTTTCTGGGAATTCAAGGTGATCATACTTCTGCAAAAGGGTGTCTTCTCTCTGGATTGACAAGCTGTTGAGGTAGCTGCCAATCACAGGTGGCCACGCCCCTTTAGTCCACCTTCCTTTTTTGTCTTTTTCACAAAAAAATTGAAGATAATTTACGAAATAACTTAAATGTTGAATAGAACGAGGCTTAAAATGTGACCATAAACTTAAGGACATGTTGTTTTCTGAGGTATAAAAGAAGAGAAAACGACTTGGCTTTGTTTGCATCCAGTGGAGGCGCCCCCTGCTGGTCATTGGAGTTACTGCAGCTTTAAGGCACTTCTGCATTAACTAAATTGCTTGGTCATCTTCTATTAGTCTGAGGTTTGATTCTGAGAGCTTCCTGTTGGAGCTTTTACCATCCAACTTTTTATAGACTTAGACGGACATGGATCTCTGCCAGTTAAATTATCGGTATGAACAATAAACTGAGCTTGACAAAAACAAGCTTGACTTATAAATAATTCACTCATAAATAATAAATCAACGCTGAGTTCTGCAGCGGGGAACAGCCAATCAGAGGGCTTAAAAGAGTTTCGCCATGCAGCTCATGGTGGGGGTGAGGATGGAGTTCAAACTTTGGAACGTGCAGCTGTTTTATGTTTTTCTTCAGACAGTAGGATATGTGGTGTTTGATTTTTAACAGCAGTATATATTACAGAAGGTAGCAGCTCTGACTGTTTTTGGAATGATTAATAGAAACAGTTATAACAGTGGATCGGTTTTGATGGACGTTGAGGGAGAGCCTTTGAGGAGTCTTTTTTGATTTAATAAGTCACACTAAAAGAAATCCTGACGAGGAAACAGCTTCAGGTTCCAGACTTTGGATATTATGCAAATGACTTCCTAGTAGGAAAACTTTTTTGCATGTCATAAAGTAAGGTTTGCATAATGCCTGTGAGGTATTTTGGCTACACCTAAAGACTTTGAACATATTTTAAAGGTCTAGTTTGATATCCTCTCATATGCAACATTTATCTAACAGACTATGAAGCCTTGTTCACACCTGCTCAAAACTCCTGAAGTTTTCAGGGTGAGCTGCATGTGTTTCTCCTCCAGCCTCCTCATATTTATTCTGCAGAAAGTCAGAGTGAGCTAATGTGAGAACGCAGCAGGATATAATCAGGAGAATTCACCTGGAGCAAGTGGGAGGGGGTGGCGTCCATAGACTGTCTGCACGCCACCTCTACCATCTTTGTGCTCTAATAAACCTGCTGCTGCATGTTTCCTGTTCTTCAGTATGTTTTTCTCTACGGTGGCCGGTAGGGGTCAAACGCTTAGCAACTGATGAAACGACATACATTTAGAAAAACGCGCAGCATATATAGAAACGCTGCACATTCAAATGCAAACTACCAGGTTGGCTCTGGAGAAAGTGCCCCTACTGGTTAAAGTCACTGTTTTAAAAGCAAAATTAAGAGCTTTAATGATACCTTTCTTTAAACTATGAGGGGAATAGAGTGCTCCAAAACTGATTTTATTTCACCTGTTGGAAAATCGATTTAAAACTTGTTTGGTTTGAAGCTGGCATAACAATTTCTGCACCCGTCTGCGAGCTCACGGCAGCATCGACCTCCAGTCAGGGAAAGTGCTCGATCAATACTTACTGATTTCTGTATCTTCTCTCTGCAGCCATCGATGCAGCCGTCATTCAGCGCTCCCTCACATTAACCTCCATGTTGCTGCTGCTGAGCTTCACCTTTGAGCTGACGTGACCCGAGGCCCTGCTGCTCCACCTCCAACCTCCCACCTCCACTTACCTGAGGAACCTGCTCTCCCCCCCCCCTGGCTGTAGCCTACGCTCCGAGCTGCTGAAACATAAAGAGTGCTGCAGCGCTTTACATTTAGAAAGAGGAGATACAGCATCAGACAGAACAAAAGGTCCAGATGCCTCTCTACATGCCGTCACACTGTGAGACTGCGCTGATGGATTACTATAGCTCAAGTCACTGATCACAAGGACAAGCTCGCACAGCGTCACACCGAAGGAGTTCTTTGATGTAGAGTGTGTGATTTCCCTTTTAAATTGTCTGCAGATTCCAGGGAATAATGGCACAGGAGAATGCTGGTCCTGAAAGTCTGCTTAGCCAGCTCTCATGCACAACTCCAGACTGGATGAATCATCACTAGTGTGCTCATTATACGCCTCTCAAGAAGCTATGATTTATACATTCAAAAAACCCCCGCTCAACATGACTTTAATTATAAATCTCCTGACTAAAAGGTACCCAAAGTTTTGAAATTGGAATAACAAAAGGAAAATACCTTTTTGTTGAGGAGTAACATCCTTCTTTTCACCAGAAATAGACTTTACATCGCTGCCTTCAAAACCCCCGGACTCCACTGACAACAACAGAAAACGTATGTTCCTGTTAGGGGATGTTGTTCTTTACCTGCCGCCTCCATCGCATTGTTCAGGACGTCTCAAAGTGTGGCGCTCGCCCCCCTGTGGGGACACGGAGAGATTTCAGGAGGGGGGAACAGGTAGTGTGCAGTGTTTCTCACCTAGGTGGGCCGCCCAGGTTTATATTTTCCACTCATACGATCGGCATTTAAGACCAATGAACTAGAAGGTGATTGCTCTCCCTCGCTCTGTGTCCTTCATACATGTTGCAGGTGTGTTCACTCTGCAGGTGACCAGAGAGAGAAAGAGAGGGATAGCCTCTGTTAAGGCTCTTTGAATGTTTGATTTGTAGCAGTGCAACGTCTGTTTTGCTTTGTGCAGCTGCTTGTTGCCGATGTGATTCTGCTGTCTCACTTGGTTTTTCTTTATTATCCCATATGCTCTTTTTGTAAAGCGTCTCCAGATAACACTTGTTATGAATTGGCAGTATACAAATGATGATTGATTAATTGATTGATTCTGCTAGGTAAAAATGTTGTTTTTGTCAATGGAGTCTGGTGGTTTGGAACAGAGCATTTTGAAAGGTGTTTCTGTTTTTTTAAAAAGGTCCTCACTCTTAAAGCTCCCAAATTATGCAAAAAACACTTCACCATGTTCCTCTAACTCTAATATGTGTCTCTAGTCTGTCTACAAACCCCCCAATCATGAGTAAAGTCCATCCTCTCCGTCTTTTACCTGCTCCACTTTTCAGCTCATTTACATATTTAAAGGTACAGACACAGAAACAGCCTGTTCTGAGCAGGGCTGAAATAGAGGGGTTTATAGACATGATCAAATACAGGATCAGAGTGGATTTAGAACAAGAAATTTCACACACGTTTTGAGGAGCTCTGAGACTTCTTAAAACGGAGGAGAGTAAGTGACCTTTAAAGCTCCTGCGAGGAATATTTGTTTTTTGTTGGTTTTGGTGCCCCCTGTGGAGAAAGTATGCTTCTCATCTCTTTGCTGATTTGTCAAATGACGTCCGACACACATGACCAGCATTACAGCCTGTTTGTGGTTCTGCCTGCTGAAACTTTTCCTCATTATTAACAAATAGAGCCACAGTTAAAATACACCAAAATGCTATCTCGCAGCTTGACAGAAAATATGTGGATTCAGCGTACACATGAAGACTTCTTTTTATTTAGTCAGTTCAGCTCTCTTGTGTACACAGAATCCACCTATGTTCTGTCAAGCTGGTACTTCCTGCCATCACCTGCACCTTTAAGGACTGACAGTGCTGTGCGCAGAGCGTCTTCTTTTTACACCCTTTGAGATGATTTGCCTTCTCAGAAACGAAGACTTTTAAATGAACTGTATGTGCTTTGTCTCTGTTTTGCAGCTCTGCTCACCTGAAGCTTCAGGGGGGCTGAGTCGGTGTGTTTACTTGTTTTCTTTGCTCCCCTTTAGAGACCAGATCTAAGATATTATTTCTGATGAATGCTTTGTTTCTGTTTCCTTTCTTTGGCGTTACCCTCCTGTTACTGCTGGACTCTAAAGAAGCTTTTCACATTGTTTTCTTCGCCCGTCTCTGTGAAGCACTTTGCTGAGATTATCGTGTTTCAAGTGCTTTAGAAATAAATTTGACTTTAACTGACTTGACTGTTGAGTAGATGCATTTTGTCATGACAATCTTTGACCTTTGACATTTTTGAATGTTGTGTTTACAAGATGCAAAGAAAAACGCTGCTGACCTGACTCCACCTTTAATGCTGCATTCAGGTGCTCCTCGGATGGTCTGTGTTTCTGAGTTGTAAAGTCGTTCTTCCAACTTCGGTGTTCACATGCGTTCAATCCAGAAAGTCAAAATGTTGCAACAAACAACATAGATGCTACAAAGATGTGGAACCTCGCTGATGAGAGTTTAAACTCGGTGTTAAACTGTTTCCAGGTTTAATATTACCTAACTTTAAAAAAAAAAAAAAGGTTAAGTAATAAACTCATTTTAATAAATTACTTTTCATTCTAGTCTAGATAACTCTATGTGGACAACCACAAATGGAAACATCATATTACAAATATTTGAGCAAACAGTTGACGTGCAATATGTGAATTAATAAAAAGTTTCTTACCGTTAACAGAACATCTTTTGCCCGCCATGTTGATATTAAAATTGTCATCAAGTCAACAAGTGAGGCACCTAATTCTGCTGTTGTTCCAACTTGAGCAAACGTCCACTTTTTGCACATTTTCCAACTCAAAACTTGTATTTCCTTCGTGTCCCAAAGTCACATGAATGCAGCATAAACATCAGTTGGAACTAGTTCTGTGCTGAGCAACTGACCAATAACGACAGAGAGGATCGGCAGACCAATCAGAGCAGACTTGGCCCACGTGGGGTCTAACAGTGTGGGCTCAACAGAGTGCAGCTGACGGACTCAGAGCATAGAGGGAGCAAGGAGGAGCAGTACATGAAAACAGACACTTTTTTCAGACTTTAGCTATTGTGAACGTACAAAAGTAGATACATAGATTAAATATACAAACCCCAAAAAGGGCATAATATGGGCTCTAAAAAATATGCAAAGTGCACTGACATTTGCGACTATGACAAAAAGTTTGATAAATACACAACTAAGAGTGCATATGAGCTATAACTGTTTCCATACCCCTAAGCTCTTCCCCATGTTTTACTCCATCTCTGTGTTTGCAACATAAGAAAATATTTTTTTATTGTCACTGTACAAGTTCAACAAAAGTCTGTTGGAGAAAACCTGCAGATGTCTGATACCAGACGTTAAATATATAAATATACAAGTAATAAACTCAAAATATTCAAAATACTAACTCTGCCAATATAAAGATGTAAACGTGGCATCTAGTGGGAGAGCTCTGAGCTGCCATCTTTACTTTTCCCCTGAACGGCAAAAAGCAGATTTTTTCACCACTGATTAGGCGCTAATTAATCAGAGAGATTAATAACCAGCTCTACCTTCGTCTGACTGCAACAACATGGTATGAAACAGATGGCCGCTAAACTCAGGGATAATGTCAGTGGATAAAACGTACACCTGCTGAGTGAGGAAGATTCATTTTGTCAGATTTTTTGCTAAAACATTCAGACCTTTGTGGTTTTTGTTTGTTGTGAATTGTTGAGTCATTTTGCAAATAACAAGTCGAACACATCGAGTGCTGCAGTTGTGTTGCTTTATTGGAAGCACAGTCCCATGTGAGCGGTATTTTACAGGATCACAGATTGAGTCCGCATCCTGTCTGGACTCTCCCCCTCCTCTTCCTCTCTATCACAACTTTCACACACTCAAGAAAATCTCATCGGACACCGAAACCCAAACCCCCCCCAAAAAACTTTGTTGACAACCAACATGCAGATGTTTAACGAGTTTGTGTGCGACGTGTAGTGAAGCCTGGAAGTCCCGACGAGCTCCTTCAGACGAGAGGTGAGAATGAACACCGGGGGCTCGTTAAGAAAAACGGGGTCGTTAAATAAAAGTCTGGAGGTCTGTGATTGTAAAAGGCAGAGAGACAGTGACAGGCAGCTCCAGTGTGTGTGTGTGTCAGTGCAATTCACCCCCCCCTCCCTTCCTTCCTGATTGAACTAAAGTCTCTTATAAACAAAATAGAGTTTTAAAGGCAGTTTGTTACATTTCACATTATATCAGCTTCTGTAGTTATACTTCATTATTCATTCATACAGTATGTACACAGCAGGGCAGCAGGATTGGTTTGTAGCTCTATTTACATTTCTGTCTATTCACATAAAGAACAAAACACCTGTGTGATAGGAGGTCGTATGAACAGAGAGCCAGTGTGTGTTCTACATTTACACACACACACAGACACACTGCCTTGCATATGGTTTAGTTATTTTAACGTTTGTGTGTGTGTGCTTGTCAAACATGGAGGACTAAATCGAGTGCACCAGAGTCTGACTCTTCCCCTCTCCTGCATTTAGTCAAACACTTTAAAATTCAGAGGTCTACAAAAAAAAAAAGAATAAAAGTCACCTCGTCCTCCCTCCTGCTCGGGGGATTTAAGAAAAGCTTCCTCGGGTAGAAAAAAAAAAGGTCATGTGATCATCACGACTCGAGCAGCAGGTAGTCCTCGTTCTCGCTGGCGGGGAGCATCAGCTGCTGCTCGTAGTACAGGCTCTTGGCGTAGTTGATTTCTTGGGAGATTTTGATGGCCAGACTCTCGCTCTTCACGTGGACCTGAGGAGAGGAACGGGGGAACGCGGGTTAGCGGCAAGGCGAGGAGAGTTTCTATCTGTGTTTCACATTTCAGCAGCAAGTCGTTTCAAAGTGCTTCACACATGACATCATGATGAAGGGACAAAGAAAACGTTAGAAGGAGGAGACATTTAAAAATCACAAAAAAAAAAAAAAGGCTGTGGTTCTCTGTCGATAAAGGGTGGAGTGTTCCCTCCGGGTGGGGAGCGAGTCTCTGCCTCAAGAGAGTTCAAGTAACTCGGGCTCTTGTTCATGAGTGAGCGTAAAATGGAGCGTGAGATTGACAGGCGGTTTGGTGCAGTGTCGGCAGTAGTGTCTGCGGGTGCTGTGCCGGACCGTCGCGGTGAAGAGGGATCTGACCCTGAAGGTAAAGATTTCCCGACCCAATCTCCCAGTGTTAATCTTCACACCATTTTCTAATTCAGTCATAGTTTCCAGACGAAAATGTCCTTTTATATTGAGTCAGATATTATTCATTTGTTATTGATTTAATTTAGTCAATTAGTCACTGACTAAGATTGCACATCATTTTAGTTGACGACAATAGAAGATATTTTAGTCAACAAAATCAGACGCAAGCTTTATTTTGAAGCTCCAGGGGGCGGGGCTTCACGGACCTGCAGGAGAGAGGCTGCACATTGTTGCACTCACCACACAAGCACACCTTTGATGAAGTATGCTATGGTTTACAATGATTTTAGAACAGCTGAGGGGGTACGTGATAATCCTCACTTGTAATGTAGTTTTTGTTTCGTCACATTTTCGTCAGTTAGATGATGAGGTAATATTTTTTTATCAAATCGTCAAATAGCGTTTCAGTTTCGTCTCGTCATAGTTGACTAATTTAAAAAGACCTTCGTCGGCGAATATTTTCGTCATTTATTTCGTTGACGAGATTAACACTGTAGAGCCGCTGCTCCTTCACATAAAAAAGGAAATAGTTGAGGTGATTCAGGCATCTGATTAGGACGCCTCCTGAATGCCTCACTTTGGAGGTTTTTTGGATAACTGAGGGGGAGACCCTGAGTGAGACCCAGAGCTCGTTGGAGGGATATCTCATCCGGCCTGGGAACGCCTCAGAATCCTCCAAGAGAAGCTGGAAAACTTTGACACCGCAACCCGAACTCTGGTAAGTGGAAGAAAATGGATGGATAGTCCGTTGTACTTCCTGTCCTCTTTTGAGACTTCCTGCTTAGAGACATGACACCAAACGAGTTCCACCCCCGACCAATCAGAGCTCCTAGTGTTGTGTGACCAGGAGTGTTTAATCAGGACTTCAAGAATGAAAGAGTCAGTGAAAACACTCATCCTGACTGGAGAAGGTGTTAGTGTGGGCTCTGTAGAGAAGTAAGCATGACTCATCTCTTTCAGAGCCATCTTTATATTCCCTCCCTCTTTCTGCGCATGGAGGAAGATGACAAACTGTTCTTAATCCCACCTACATCGCTTGGATTGTTCTGTTTGCTTTCATACAACACACCTCCAGAACTATTTGAACAGCTGGGAGAAATATAAAAACGATGTGGGCAGAGATACTCAGGTCTGGAAGGGGATTCAGCTTCTGTGTGAAAAGCTTCTGAACTAAAACAAATTAAAGCTGCTTTCACATTTTTAAATCTCAGAGAAAAATTTGCCTGTTTGCGTTCACAGATGAAGCTCCTCCTGGAAGTACCAGGAGTTTTTCAGGAGTTTTCTGCAAGTGTGAACACACTATAACAGTCTCTTCTGTGCATTTCTGTCCTTTCTGTACCTGGAGAACTGCACAGATTTTGCAAATCAGCCTCATGGTGGATCTAAAAACAAAAGGCTTCATTTGAAACACAGTTGAGAAAAACAAAAAAGTCGAATAGGCGAGCTGTTGTTCTTCAGGTTTCTTGAATTGCTTGACTCCGACCTTGACGTTTGATTTGACGTGTGAATCAAAGAGACACAAAGAGGACGTTGAGGCGGCTGAATCCTGCAGAGTGCTGCTCTCACAGTTCATCGTATAATGTTATTCATTTCAGTCTTACAGCCTAACGGCCATGAAGGTGTCAGAGAATCAAGTTTGATTATTTGTAAAAATGAACGTGGGTCAACGTTTCAAGACATTCAGACTCTCTTTCTGGGAGCTGCTACTTCTTATTTTTTTCACTTTGGTATTTATGTTAAAAACAACAAGAATTGTCTTCAAATGGTTGTTACAGTAACGTGTAAAGAGAGAGCAAAGCCCCCCCCATGTTCTCTCACCTGCGTCATTACTGGAAGCAGAGCCACGCAGTAACAAACAGCAGAGTGAGCGTTAAGAAGCTCATTCAGTGTTCATGAGACTTTGATCGGGAGCTGAACTACCCATAGAGCTTTCCTCCACTCTGAAATGAACTACAAAAGGTCAAAACACTAAATAAATAATGAAGTTTATGTTAAGAAGGAGTGAATCTCAAAAGCTCTTCTGCGAGGCTTTAGGCGCCGCGAGCCAAGACGCTGCTCACTCTGAGTCACTTTGTTTTTCTCTCAGAGATCTGGATCCAAACATGCCATGACTAAACCTTCACACACGTTTAAAAAAAGAAAAAACACTGACGTGTTTTGACTCAGCTGGAAATGTTTTTTTATTCCCCTGAACGTCTGTGCTTATGAAAAAACATTTTAAAAATTTAAATGTAAAACTTGAGATATGTGTTAGAGGTACAGGAACTAAAAAAAATAAAGCATATTTAATAAGACTGACCAAACCTGACGGGTGTTGATAAAAGAACTTCTGACATGACGGGCACAACATGTTTATTGTTGCCATGGAAACACAAACCGTTACATCAAAGGAAGCGTGAGCTGCTGATGAAAGCTGCTGTGTGTGCTGCTGTGATAAAAACGTCATGTACATTATACTTATACTTATACTTGGATACTTTAGCTCATCTGTAAACATATTCTCATTCTCAGGTCGGTTTCACCCGGTCGTCATGACTACGGTCAACTCAGAGGTCGTTTTTAATAGGGGTTGGGTGGAGTAGCAGAGAGAACTCCCATGATTCCCCTCCAGCCTCGATGTCGCCTTTTGATATTGTTTCGATGAGAAGCCCCCTGGTGGTGGAATTTTTGAAAATGAGGTTTTCTACTTTAGCCGGAGGACGGAGTATGAATTCACCAGAGAGCAGATCGAGGGGGGGAACAGGAAGTCAGACACCGAAACTACATGAAAACATCCGGTTGATTTTCAGAATAAAACACTCTGCTATGACGGTTGAGATCAACGACTTTCATGTGTGTTTGTTGTTGTTTTGTTTAAACTGTTTTACAGCGATTATCTCTAACCAGCAGAAAACTCCTCACATGAAATGAATTGTTTTAATTTATTTCAAAGTAAATTTCTGTGAGGAGAGATGGAAGAGAAGACATTTAACAGTGAAACTAAATCTATCTTCATGGAGAAATACCGACAGAGGACGAGGGAATAAAAACATACCCTAAAGCGTTTGTTCTTATCCAGAAAGTGTGGAATAAAAAAAAGAAGAAAGTGTCTCACCATGGGTTTCTGATGGGAGGGGCCGGGAATGGCCACCCCGCTGCTGGTGTTCTCCGCCTTCTTGGTGAGCTGCACGTAAACCTTCCCATGATCCTTTGAGACGAGGCAGTGGTAGAGGTCGTCGTATTTGACCTCCAGGAAGATGGCCTCTCGGTCGACGAACTCCCCGGGCTTCAGGAAGTAGACCACTTTGGAGGAGATGAGGACGCAGTAGCTGTCGATGGGCTCCACGGCGATGAAGCTGGCGAGGGGTGAAACACACACACACACACACACACACACACACACACACACACACACACACACACACACACACACACACACACACACACACACACACACACACACACACACACACACACACACACACACACACACACACACACACACACACACACACACACACACACACACACACACACACACACACACACACACGCGTAAGCAGAGTGTCAGAAGAACTCAGCATGTAGGAATACAGACGGGTGAGAGAGAGAGACTCACAACTCAGAGTGGATGTTGTCGGTGAGGTGGAAGAGCTGCTCCTGACCGTCGGCCTGGGTGGACAGGTATCGAGGCAGCAGACCCTGAGGACCCTTACAGCAGCGAGGCTTCCTGACGCGCTGCACGCTGAGCCTGGACGACATCAACAACACAAACACTTCAAACACACACTCTTCATGTTCAAGCAGGAAGTCAGGACCTCACAGCGTCTGCTCTGTTGCAGATATCAGTTCATTCTTGTTAGGGTCGAGGGAGATGCAGAGAGAAAGGATAGTTAGGGTGAGACGGCATTTCCAGCGTCGAGACCGCCATCGATGGGACTCTAAAGCCCCCTGCAGGAACAGACGGGTGATGTCACTCAGGCTTCGTCCATTAAGCATACGGTGGGTTTGTGACTTTGGTTTGAATCGTCCAATGCAAAGCCTGAAGACAACGTTTTCTGTTTCTGTTTGTGGATCGTGTAAACACAGAAATCCAGTTTTCTCCCCGTTTTAGTTTGATATCGTTTATCGGCCTCCTGCAGCCCGATTGTGTTTTTATGGTTGCGTTCAGGCGGTGAGAGAAAAGCATTATCATTTCATTCTTTCTTTTTTTCTCTGTTTGTCCTCTGTGTGACTCGGGGTTGTACGGCGGTCATGAGCTGTTTTTTTCTGAATAACACAACATTTAAATTTGGACATCCTGCTTTCTCTCCTGTGACCATCTCATTCTATGTTAATCACTAACTCTTTCTTTGATCGCTGAAGGGCTAAAAGAGACTTATCGTAGCTCTGGGTTTCTTTTAGTGAGGTTTGGCCTGTCTCCATAACCGCACAATTACATACTTTAAAATCTTGAACGAGGGAGAACAATGTCTAATGTGTGCTGAGTTTTTGTAGATAACTCCAACCACAAGGTTGAAGTGCTGGCTTCTCTGACAACAATGCAGCAGCCAGTATGTCCTCCTTCTAACTTTAGATTCTGGTCCTGAATGCTCTGGATCTGTTTGGACCAGAGAAGGTAGGCGCTTTGAAGGCGACCCATGCAGAGCTGGCTAAACACTGAAGCTTCAGTGTCCTACCTGCAGCTCCTTTCCTGCATGTCACTCCCCACTCTCTCACTCTATCTACTGTCCTGTCTCTAAATAATAAGGGCATAAAATGCCCCAAAATAAACCTTCATAAACGGTTACAAACAACATTATTGTTTTTTTTTGCAATTTTCCACCTCTTCCATTAAACTTTCCATGACTCCCCCAGTTTGGAAAACACTGTCTTGGACCATTGTTTGTGGCTTTATGCTGCTTTAAAATGACTTAATCGACGTACAGAAATGTCATTTCTAGACGGTGGTAGATCTGCACGTTCCGCCTGAAAGTTTGTAGGAAGTTTAGATTAATGTCACTGATTTGTTGACCTGCATCAGTAATTCAAAATCCCTATGACTTTGTATAAAAAGAGGGTGGAGTCACTTTGACATTCTACATATTGTAGGTAATATACTTATATTTATACATTTATTAAGACACACTTCTTCTTTTTTTTTTCAGTGTTATCTTATCATCACTTTGGATCTTTATTTTCAACATGTTCATTTTGTTTATTATTCACTAATGTGACGCTGTTAGTCTGAAGAGTCACCAATCAAAAAATGTCCTTTTGTGCCTTCATGAAAAAGTGTCCTGACATAACCCACCTGTGGTTACTGAGGCTGGCCATGTCGCGGACTGTCTGCGCCGTCTCTGAGGCAAAGTCCAGAGCTCCAGCCACAGGTTTGGTCACAGTGCCCACCAGACCTTTACCCAGGCCGGAGAAGAAGCCACTGACCCCGCCCTCCGTCTTCACCCCCTCCACTGTGGACGTGATGATGCTCGTCATGCCTCCGATGATACCTGCGGGAACGAGGGAAGCTCCAGTTTTACCAGAAGCTCACATAGTGAAGGTAATAGACTGATAGTCATACCTACAGGTGTGTCCTGTGAGTTGTATTTTTCTTCTAATGTATCCACATAAGATGCTCGTCTGGACTTCTCAGGTGAATGTGGCCCATGTTAAGTAAAATTAAATACTTGCTAAGATTTGTGTTTTCCCAGTGTGTAACTCTCAGATACCTAGTGTAGCATGCCATGATATATTACGTTCTAGAGTTTTTATATCATGTTACTTCCATGAATCATTGGATCAGTCTAATAAACAGATATCCAGGATGTGCTGCAGAGCAAGCTGTCTGGTTTTATTACGAGCTTTTCCTCCTCACAGTTTTCAGAGCAATACGCTGAGTCGCCTTAATGAAATAGATCACTAGATGCTCATGAACAGCTCATTCTACCACAGAGCTTACCAAGGTTGTCCAAGTATTTTTTTCTAAATGATACAATCTCTGTCATCTTAAAGGTCACAAGGTCACCTGCTGTTTCTGTGTCTGTACCTTTAAATATGTAAATGAGCTGTGTCTGACCACGCCCCCTCTCTGGAAGGGCTTGGGTGGTCTCAGGTTTTCTCGCTCCATGTCCTGTTGTTTACGGTGAGAAGGCAGACTCAGAGGGCAGAGCAAACACCTAGCTGTGGGAGTGTCACCCACCTGGGGGAGGGGTTACTGCCCTTTGTGATGTCATGAAGGGAAAATCTTCAAACGGCCTGTTTGAGCACACATTTTCTGAAAAGTGGAGCAGGCAAAAGACGGAGAGGATGGACTTTTCTCATCATTGGTGGGTTTGTAGACACATATTAGTTCACAGGATAATATGTGACTCCTAGCTGACACTCCCACAGCTAGGTGTTTGTTCTGTAGTGCGTGTTTGGCCTTGTAGGTGTACCTTGTTAACCAGAAATATACACGTTTGCAGGTCGTACCGTGTGCAAGTCCATGAATCCCTGCGACCAGGTGCTCTCCGCTGGTGGCGCCGTGGTATCTGATGTACTCTCGCTCACTCTGGTGTCGGTTGTCCATGGTCTTCCCCAGCCCGTCTGATAAAGTCCCTGCAAACTAACACACAGGAAATAGAAGGATGTTGAGACTGTTTCTTCTTCTGATTTGCTTCTTTACTGTGATCACTACAGTCTGACTTGTTATTCACGTTAATAGGTAAGTCCTGTATCTTTGAACTCGGGCACTATTTTGACATAATTTCCAAAAAGATTGAAACGCTTCTAAAGGTTTGTAATGACTCCGGCAGATTCCACCTTAAGTGCTCGTTTGCGTCTTCAACATGCTCAGGTTGTGTCTGAAATTTCAGGCAGCGTAAACAGAAATGATCCCTCCAGAGAAAATATGTCATTCAGGTATGATCATTTTTTTTTTTTTAAAGGGAGAGACAGCTGTTACATAACTTTCTTCAAAGCCTTTCCACCGCTGCCTTCATCAGTTTGCATGTGAGTGTAACTCTGTGACTGTGATGTTGTGAATGTTAAGTTCGGATCAAAAAACAAAACTAACACAGCAGCTGTAAGAGGAGCAACTTCTACGTTTGTAAAGTGAGATTGATTGAATCCATGAAGTCGGTCGAGAACAATTTACAATTTACAATTTAACAGCTGTTTATTGTTTACAAAAAAACACTCCATTGTTTGTACCCATCCATGCAGCAGCTGTGTAGCTCTTAAGCGTACCATCTCTTCTCAACATGTGGAGTTTGCAGTCCTGCTAGCTAACATTACGGTGATAGCTGTGAAGTACTGACCCAGAACCTCTCCTCTGCTCACTTGTTGCCTTTAATTGAGGAGTCCTCCACATGCTTTACTACCACAATTTGAAAAATATAATTGAATTGGTCGGTACGGCCTCCACAGTCCAATAGGCGCTCGTGGATTGCAGTATTTTCGGTTTTTGACAAGATTCCATGCTTTGAATTATTTTAATTGGCTCTGATTGGGTGTGCCTGTGAGTCCACGCGCTGGGATTAGGAACCAACCCACCCCCTTCTTTTCAGTCATGTCCGGTCATGTGCAGTGTGTGATGGTTACAGCTGTACTTGTGCTCATGACTGTGCATGTCTCTCTTTCATCTTTCATACTGGTATATTGGACACACCGGTATTTAGGACGCAGCCAACCGCTTAGATGAAACCAAAAAAAAGGTCAGCTTCTTTGACACAGGATTGTGTGGTGTTCTACCTTGGCAGCAGAGTTTGACACTCCATGGGTCACGTTGCGAATGAGGCCGCCAACGTTGCCGTACTTGATGAGCTCGGACACGCCCTCGCTGACGTCGTTTAGGAGGCCCATGGGGTTCCCCAGGAAGTCCACAGAGCCCAAGATCTGAGCCGCCTGACTGATGAGCTCCTGCAGACAGAAAATGGGACACAGTTATGATTTAACACAAAGCAGACATTCTACCATAATCAATGAAACACCTGTGAATGAAATGCTTAAATTAAGCTGATTGTAAGTGATGGAAACAAGTTATCTTTGAAAAAATATGAAGAAGACAGTCAAGGACTTGGGCTGCAGAGATTAGAATAGAATAAATCTTTTTTGCCTTAGGCTCTCCAGAAACTTATGGCAGCATAAAAACATTCAGGCGGTCAAAAAGAAACAAACAGAGCAGCTCAGTTTACACATAAAAAAAACCAGTTCATGACATGGTTCAAGTTAGGATCAGAATATTTTCATACCATTTTAAACTGGCAACAAGAAGGCAATGGTGGCCAGAGTTGCACTTTCAAACATCGCTGCTCACCTCTCTGAAGTGCTTGAGGATGTCGTTGATGATGATCTCCTGCGTTTCGTAGGGGTGCACTCGGGTGAACGGGTACATGTTGATGACAGCGTCTTCAAACCGAACCAGAGGAAAGCCCAGCGTGCCTTTCAGAGCCTACAGTGATGAAACAGGAACAACAACAAAAAAAACAGCTGAAAGAGGAAAAGGGTGGAAATCATGCAGCACAGGAAGAGTTTCTAAGACGCTGCACCACACCTCCCTGCACCGAGAGGAGTGAGATGATGTGAGAGGGTGGGACAAACTGATGAAGCTGAAGTGCGGCGTTGTTTAGCTGGACAGAAACTGAAAAGAAGGAGTTAAACGTGAGCTGACCTTGAGATCGGCTGGCAGCTTGTGGGAGGTAAAGACGCTCAGTTTGACCTGAGGGAGGCTGATCTTCAGGTTCTCAAAGTAGTAACGTTTGGGGGGTCCCGCGTCCTCATTAGGCCTCTCATGGAGGTTTTCGTCCAGCTTCTCCAGCTCTGCAATCACAAAAAGGACAATTTTATTATTATTATTTTATTTTTATTTTTTTAGAAAAACGACCTGCTTACTCACAAAATGAACTCTCAGTGAGCACCCACCTGCTTCTATCTGTCCGTATCCAAAGAAACTGAGCAGCTTGAGCAGCAGTTTCTCCTCGATGATGACCGTGAAGCGTCGGGCTGTGACCATGAGGTGCTGTGAACACATGATTAGAGGAATGATAGTAAAGTCTGCTTTCTGATTCACATAATGTGCCAGGAATAGAAAATAGTGAAATGCGTTCTGCAGCAAGCATTAAATTTAACGAGTCACAGCAATAATTCAGTCTGTCGCTCTCACCTTGAAGAGATCCGTGAGCATGAGGCTGCTGGGAACCTTGACCGAGTTGACCTGCAGGGCGGGGCCGCTGTCGTTCACACCGATGTCGCTGGAGCTGGGAGTCACACACAGCATCACAGGCTGGGTGGTCCCGAGCAGCTGGTTGTCCACCTGATAACAACAACACAACAAAACATGCACTCGTTTAACTAAAACATGGTTTATAGCATAGTCTGGATGTAAAAGCGATGTCCATGGTCAAAAATCCACTCTGATCCTGTATTTGATTATAATATAATATAAATTATAATATAATATAAACCCCTCTATTTCAGCCCTGCTCAGAACAGGCTGTTTCTGTGTCTGTATCTTTAAATATGTAAATGAGCTGTGTCTGACCACGCCCCCTCTCTGGAAGGGCTCGGGTGTAGTCGATGCTTTCTTGCTCCATGTCCTATTGTTTACGGTGAGAAGGCAGACTCAGAGGGCAGAACAAACACCTAGCTGTGGGAGTGTCACCCACCTGGGGGAGGGGCTACTGCCCTTTGTGATGTCATGAAGGGAAAATCTCCAAACGGCCTGTTTGAGCACACATTTTCTGAAAAGTGGAGCAGACATACGATGGAGAGGATGGACTTTTCTCATCATTGGGGGGTTTGTAGACAGACTAGAGACACATTAGTGTTAGAGGAACATGGTATTTTACAGAATATGTGACCTTTAGAGGAGAGTGAACGTGACTTTGCTTGGTGCTGTACTTTCTCTTCCTGATCGAAACTGGTTTATGCTTTTATTGACCACATGAAAGTTTCCAAATTGCTCAATTTTGATAACGTTTCAGTGAATTGAAGTAAGAATTAATTTGATCTGAACTATGCAAAGTAAAGTAAAAAGACAGCAACTTAAAACCTTACAGGGGGGAGGAATATAAACGCTGTGATTATTTATTCTGCAGATGGGTCTGATTCTTTATGGATTCCTTTAGTGAATCAGCTTTCTGTTCGGGAAAAAGGAAGGGCAAAAAGGTTTCATGCAACATGCAATTATTAGATTATTTCTGAAATATTTCTTTCAGCTTCTCTGCTCTGGCTGTCGGTTTGTTGCTCCTAAGGGGAGAACTAAACGCTACAGAAACACTTTAGTAGCTGCACAAAGCTAGCACAAGAGGATGATCTTTAACAATGCTAGGATCATTTAAACCTCTGAGTGGGTGTCTGTGTAAGGACTCTGCCATGCCCTAATGTAATCGACGGTGTTTGTTCTGATGAATTCTGTTTTTAACCTTGAATTTGTATTATGTGTTGTATGTATCTTTGGGACGCTGATTCTCCTGTTTGCACAAAAAACGTACCATTCTTGGCAGCAATAAAGAAACTGTGAACCTTGAACTTAAATATGTAAAAGCAGCGTCATAAAGCGCATGTGTGCCTCAGGTGTGCAAATGCTGCAATGCTCCAGCCGTGTGTCGCAAAGTTCTGGCGTTTCCATCCCCATTTGAAATGATAATTTCACACTTCTCTCCACGTCTGCATCGACGGCTTTTGTTGCAAGTTTCCAGAAGTGGCATAAAAACATGCTGGCATTGATAAAAGGAATAAATACGCACAGAGGATTTGACAGTTTGGATCAGGAAACCAGCCGGATTCAAATACGATCTAAAACGTGACCCCTGATGAGGTTTTGGTGGATATGGGGGACGGACTAAGAAGGTCTCTGTGACACTTTTTGTCATAAGATCAAATCCTAGTTTCATGATCAAATATTAAATTGTATCATATTTATTGTAAGTCATTTATTTTCCTTCGTGTTGTGTATTGTTTGCTCATCTGTTTGAACTTTGAGTGTTTTTGTTTTTGTTACCTGCCGAGGGACTGCAGATCCAAATTAGCATTTGTGCTAACTTCTGCATGTTTTTATTTTTTGTTGTCTTGCCGATGCTTATTTACATGCTCTTTGCTTATCAAATAAATAAATAAAAAGTAGATACTTTCTGCAACATTGCATGCAGTGCAACTACAGCATGAGGTCCCTCAGGGTTTAATAATGGTCCCCCTTCTTTTGTCCCACCTTACCACATTAGCATATACAGTATATTGTCGCTTCTCCTTCAAGTCACACCTTGTCATTTCACCGGCCTCTGATGACTTACTTTACTTTACTAAGGTCACCTTTCATGTATCACAGCAAACATTCAGGTGGTTCCCAGAAATACAGGATACAAGGATGGGGAACTGTCAACAGGAAGATGAGAGACGCCAGACCCTACAATGCAGACGAGCTATTAAAGCAACCTGGGCTTCTACAGCTCCGTTTCCACCATGCCGTCCGGTTCCGTTTTGGCATGGTACACATTTATCGGTGTTTCCACCATCAAAAGTCAGGAAGGGTAACAAAATAACTGATCCGTACAGTCCTATTTTTTTGCTACCTTTCTGTTGGCGGTACGATCTGACCCTAAAGGTTGGAGTCCGTTGATTGGCAGAAAGAATCGTCACTTCCCGTGTGACAGAGGTAATAACGGACGAACACAAAACACACCACGTTGAAATATCCTGTGGATTTGGAGAGAATCATTTTAAGGCTGTTTTTGTTTTTTGCCTCGGAGATGCTGACCTTCCGAGGATTCTTTGATCTGTTTTACTGTCTCACATTCTTCTTCTTTGTTGTATTTATTGGCGGTCTACACATTGTTGCACCGCTTTGATTTAGTGATGTGTAAGGGTATGGTTGGCTGTGAAAAGGCGAGCAAGATCAAGGAGACTGTACCAAACCGTACTGAACTAAACCTGACCACTTCAAGGCTTATAACACCTCAGCAGGGCCACAGGCTGATGCTCCATGTTCTCCATCGCGTTGATGCAGTAATCCGTGCAAAAGGATCCAAGTATTGATCGATAAATGAACGTACTTTTCAGAAGGTCGACATTCAGTCAAAAGTAAATTCTGGGCTTTTATTCCTGAATTTTGGAGACAGGAGAATAGAGTCAGAAATCGGAGAGAAAGAGGAAAGACATGCAGGAAAGGGTCCACAACCTTGGCCACATGCTTGTAGGACCACAGCCTCTGTACATAGGGGGGCGCTAGCACCAACCACTAGGCTACCAGCGCCCTGATGTCCTAATTCTTTTATAGATGCACATGAACAGTAACGGTATGTGTTTGCATCTACTTATCTGCCCTGTTTCATTTTTTCTTATGTAAAAAGGTGCTATAAAAAAACACACATTTCAGCCTCTCCAATCTGTGCAAAGCCCACCTGGATGTTCTGAATGCTGAGCTCCAACACCTCGTTGGATGCCGTGCGGATGAAGTGGACGTCTATACCGGACAGCGTGGTGAACACGAGCTCTTCAGGAGCTTTGTTGACTAGAGAGACACCCAGACCTTCCTCCAAGTTCACCAAAACCTGCCAGAATAAATACAGAGAAGATTTTAGAGATGAGAGTTTTTTGTAGGACTGTACAAGGTAAATTTAGCTTCTCCCACCCGGCTCAGATTGTTGTGTGAGTCACAACATAAAAATAAAGATGAGCAAATATTATTAAAGATATTCAAACTACGAATGTGTAATGCAGGAACTTTGAGTTTCCTGTCAGGCATAAAGGTCTGTGACACACAATGGTGCATGAAAGTGCTTCAATGGAAAAGTCTCAAAGGCTCTCGTACCTCCAGCTCCTGCTCCGGCTCTGTCTTCTTCACTTCCTCTTTGCTCTTCTCCTGCTCGGTGCTCGGGGAGCTGCGCAGCATTCTCCTCTGGTTAAAGTCACTGATCTGCAAACCAACAAACAAACAAACTTCTGTCAGCAGAGATGAAGCGATTCAGCACGGCTGTGACTGGAGAGTAGATACTATCTGATGTTATCGAGGAACTTAAGCTCATTTATATTCTGTCACTCTGTTATCTGATTTAGATTCTTAATAACAAGCGTTTTGAAGAAAACAACAGAGATAAAAAAAAGTGCTATCAGACTTTAAGCTCGATCTTTAGAGTGACCCTTGAAGATCAACAAAGAGAAGCACTGTGTTAAAAAGGAAAAGCTGCATCAAATATTTCTTTTGAAAACTTTGAAAATTATCAAGTTTTCTTATCACTAAAACAATTAGCGTTAGCCTAACAAGCTCTTCATTATCGTTCTGATAAGAGTCAGAAAATATAATTATTGTTTTCACCTGAAGGACTCGTGTGGGTCCGTCTGGCAGCACCTGAACCGACAGGACCCCAGAACCAGGTCTCATCTTCTGGTTGATGAACTGCTGCTCGGGTCCAGGCTCCATCAGCCCCGAGTCTGGTCCCAGCACCACCTGCGCTCCGTCATACAGGCCGGCAGCACCACCCTTCGCCTGAGGGACAAAAGATGTTTCTTAAAATAAACTGAAGAGGGAAACAAGGACAGGGTAACAAAGCTGAGGAGTTTTAGTGAGAAGTAAATCCAATGTAACGTTTTGATAATTGATTTAAAGTTTTAGTTATTTTGTTTAAAGTAGCAATATATAACTCTGACACCTAGTGGTTAAAATGGGTACTGCAGTCCAAATTCTGAACATTGTATTGAGCTGTCTCCCACCGCCCCCTCCTCTCTAAAGTCGATGCTCACGCAGGTCACCATGTGGTGAACACTGAAGCTTCAGTGTTTATCCAGCTCTGCATGGGTCTGTAAACCTTTCTGTGCTCTAACCTCTCTCCATTTTTCAAAAGCATCTCCAACATTGATCCTAGTTTGAACACGTTTCTGCTCGTGGAGCTTATTAGAAACATCTTTTGACTTAGGGGGGATTTTATAAACTAGAATTTCACAATCATTTCAACAGAGCTAGGTGTACCTACCTGTACCACCAGCCGGGGAAGACCACAGGTCAGCATGTCTGAGCAGAAATACCACGTCTGGGTGGTGCTGCGTCGTGAGTCCGGCCTCCTCAGCATCAAAGGCTCAAAACTGGGAGAGAGAGAGAGTGAGAGAGAGAGAGGGGGGGGCGAGAGAGAGAGAGGGCAAGAGAAAGAGACGGACAGAGAGAGAGAGGGAGAGAAAGAGAGAGGGAGAGAAAGAGGGAAAGAGAGAGGGTGAGAGAGAGAGGGAGAGGGAGAGAGAGAGGGAGAGAGAGGGCGAGAGAGAGAGAGAGAGGGAGAGAGAGAGGGCGAGAGAGAGAGAGAGAGAGAGAGAGAGAGAGAGAGAACATGTAAAAAATTGGCTGAAACATGCTTTGCTAAGTTTAAGTTTACTCTACAGCTGCACGCTGTACCAACCTGTTGTCACTGACAGCTGCGAGCCCAGCGATGTCCAGCACGAGAGAGGATTCGAGTGGGCGTGGCTGAGCGGGTTTGCTCTGCGGCGGGGACGAGCCTTCGTGACACAACATACCAGAGCCGGTCATCCTCCACAGCTGGGAGCGCTTTCCTGGCTCCTGCACGGCAATCACACAACATTTAAGAACCCCGTTACTTAATAAAACCTTTTCCTTCTGCTTTTTCTATACAAACATTTTACACATGGAATCTTTTGAATAAATAAGAAGTTCTGTCGGATTAATGTTTCCTAGAGCAGAGGTCCCCAAAAAAGCTGAGCCCCCCCCTCCAGGCCCCTCACAAAATAAGGTAACACACTGTTTTTAAAAATAACATTAAAACGTTTTCATTGATGAAATCCTGTTGGAATTTGCCTGCACACTTGTCTTGACCCAAACACCTTTTCTACATCTAACATGATTTTATTTAATATGTGCAGATCTAATTGTGACAGCCTCAGCGCAGACAGAGCCTCGAGCCCTCCCCTGAGATCTCAAGCACCCCCCTAGGGGGTCCCTGGAAACTCGAGGGGGGGAACCAGTATCCTAGATAGTAAGGCATGACATTAGTATTCGGGTCACATTTCAGGACTCCTGAGTTTTCATTACAAATTGACTTCCGTCTTTTTTTTTTAATCCCTCAAACTATGAATTTTAAATCTTCAGATTGTGTTTATCCATTTAGTTTTGTTAGCTTTATGTTAGCTACTGGAAATGCTAATTTAAGGTAATTTATGTGCTACAGCTAATTACAATTATCGATCAAACACTGAATCTGGCTCAAACTGGAAAAATGGCACCGAACAAATGGAGAAGTTTGAGAAACTGTGGTCCAATAGTTTGAAGACTCATCATGGATCTTCCAGGCTGCTGAAGTTTAAATAACCTAACAAGGCAGTACCAAGTGCTGCCCTCATGTGCCTGTTTCCGACTCCTTCTTTTGATTTGAGCAGAAAATCAGAGGAAAACGTCCTGATATTTGTTTCAGGTGTCAGAGTCATAAAAACAGAGTAAGGAAATAAAGAATCTTTTTTTTTTTGACTCATGTTTCCCTCATACTTTTCCACTTGTTTGCCATCTTCCCCACACTCACAACAAAGTATGTGGTTCATTATTAGGTACCAGAATCCAGAATTCACAGTCTGCTTTTAGAGGAAAAGTTTAAACTGACTTCTGATTACGGTAATCTATCTTTTAAATCAGTACCTTCTTCTTCAGGATGACCCTTTGAGTCTTGGTGTCGACATCTAGAACCAGCTCAGCAGAGCTCACCGGTCGCTTCTTCCCAACAGGTCTCCTCTCCACACTCCTGCATAGACAGAAAGATGCTGGTTACCTTCATCACCTAAACTTTTATATTATTGATTCAAAAATAGTAAATGTTTCATTGGTCGTACTGTGAGAACGTGTGCGTGGCAGCGATGTAAATGAAGTTCTCGTAGTAGAGCTTGTTGTACTCTCTGAAGAAGTTCATGTCGGCTGTGACCTCTGAGGATCCGGCTCCCTTCACAGTCAGGGTGAGGTAGGGGGGCAGCGTGGGCTCGTCACAGGCGTAGTCCAGCACCGCGCCTGCCTTCACCTCGGTGTGCAGCCGGATGTCAGCCACGCCGTGCTGCCACACCTGGATAGGAACCTGCAGGGATTCAAAAACAATGGACTGAATGAACTCTGATTCAGTGTGAACTCTGAGTGACAGAATGGAAACAGCTCTAAACGTAGACGCAGTGTTTCAAGCGGAGACAACAAAGGGGCTGCAGCTACAAAATAAAATTAATGAACACTGAATCGCCTGCAGAGAGCTTCAGGAAGCTTTAAACTCGGAGCATGTCTCATCCTTTCTGACAGCAGTGACAGGGTTTCTCTGATCCTGACATCTTTTGGTAACTTCCTGACACAAACGTTTAATTAATCACATCTGATTCAACACCATTCTTATCTTCCATAACGGCCCGATTACAAAACGATGAGTGGTCCAGCAGGTGATTACTTTTTTCAAGTAAGTGTGTCCCTGCTTTAAGGCTCTGACAGACCAAGCAGATGGTAAATAATTTGAATATTCGCTTAGATGAACAGCCAATCAGAGTGATTCCTCTCAGCAACTGCGCCGACAGACTCCGACGGTCGAGAAAAAAAAAAGGCAGATGGGTAGCAACGGAGCCGGACACACTGAAAAAACTAGGTTGACGATCACTCACCGACGGTCCAACTAGGACGGCTGACGATCTGGAGGTCTGTGTCAGGGCGTTTAGAAGAAAGTCACGCTACAGGAGGCGTGTTAACGGTGTCTTACCTCAGAGATGTTGTCGATGCGAAAGGGTGGAGGCAGCTGGTCGGTGTCGGTGAAGGAGATCTGGTACGTGGCTCCCTTCAGGGTGATCTCAGTCCGCAGGAAGAAGCAGTTCCCCAACGTGTCCCTGATAAAACAAAGATCCACTTAGAATCAATCAGAGGCCTCGTTTATTCACATCAGTTGGGGTGAATATATAGGATTTCTTGTACTTAAAGGGATACTTCGCCCGTTGAAACATGAATCTGTATTGACATTGGGTCATATATGTAGTAGAAATGTGAAATACATTTTGAAGTTGGTGCCTTTCCGAGAAAAGGCTCTTGTGGATGAAAGACACCAAATTCCAGAATGCACAGCACCGCAGGCCACTCCCACTAAGGTCCTATATTTACAGACTACATATACGTCCATTTCCTCAACTGATTCCAAGATTTCCCAGCTCGAGCCGGCCCTGGCTCCTTGTTTCTGGGAGTGAGTTCCCACCCACTGATCTGTGATTGGCCTGTAGCTTCAGTGCTCGAAAATATGAGGAACTAGCGTTGTAGTTTAACCCCGCTAACCGCAACAGCTTCCAGCGACGCAGAAATTAAAATTTTTGCGTCACTGGAGTCTCCTTTTCAGACTTAGAAATACAAAGATTTCCCATCTGAGGGTGGGATGCACGACCATTCAAAAATACTACCAGGTTTTCTAATGATACAAAGCTTAATGCAAATGGGTGAAGTATCCCTTTAAATTAGGTTCTGTTTGAGCCACAGTTTGCACATGCTGTACGCTGTACATTCAGCTCACCTCATGTTGACGTGAAAGGACTTTGGTTTGTTGACCTCGAAGCCTCCCGACCAGGTGCAGTTTTTTGTATCCATGAGGCGCACACACAGCAGCTGGTCGTAGTCATTGCGAGGCCAGTGGAAGACGACGCTGGAACCCGGCAGGGTGGAGATGTAACCTTCGGGGTTAGCGGTACCCTGTGGAAAAAGAAGTTCACAGCTTGGATGCAGACAGCCATGAAACTTAGCGTTTTAAATGCATTCCAACCCCTCCAAACATCCAAACGCCACGTGGGAGTAAACCTGAGGGTTCATTTCTCACCTTTCCTCTCGCGAACTCCCTCTGAGCGAAGGCCAGTTTGTGCGTGGAGCGGTTGTCGAGCAGGTAGCGCGGTGCGAACGTCACAATGTGAGTGTCTCTGTAGCGTCCTTTTCCTTTCCGCACGCTGATGCCTGTTTTCAATCACAGAGGGAATAATGATGTGACTTTATTACACTCGAGAAGTGGAGGAGGAAAAAACATGAAAAGATCTTCTGTTACATGAAGGCAGAACATCTTGGGTGCATATTTGTGGTGCAGAGTGATTGTGAGCACCAGCTGAAGAGGCAGACGTTCCTCATAATCAGAAACGGCCGAGTCTCGATCAAAGGCAAAATATTTAATTGAAAGTGTGACAGATTTCTATTCATTTGGCCTGAATGAATCAACGCCGAGTACTTTAATTCAGTCTAATACACTTCTGCAACTCAGCTCTTTCTCTTCTTCTATAACTCCTGCTTGATGAGAGACTGTGTGCAAGAAAAATGACCTTCAATTTCCTGAAAAACGAGCCTGAGCTCACTCTCAAAATTACTAGTGAGGAATTTTTCAGGCTTTCAACAGCCAACGCCAACTCAGTGAAATGATTGTCCCAGATTCCAGTCCTGCGTTTTCAAAGGGCAGAGGAGCTCTGATTTAAATCCTGGGTATCAGACATTAAACAAGTCTCTGAATGAACCAGCTCACCTATGTTGTAGATGAGTCCAGGCCTGTTCCCATGCATGATGACCTTCACCGCTCGGACTCCACTCCCTCCGTCCAGCGAGAAGCCCTGACACCAGCCGGGGACTCCGTCCGGGTGGATCCCTTTCCCGATCCGCATCGTACACCTGGGGTTAAGATGGATGGAGAGACAAATGTAATGAAAGACCTGAAAACTGTTCCATGACCATGACCATCTACAGCCTATCAGTCCATGAACAGATCTATATTTAACTAGATGTGCTGCGATCGACCGGCTGGTGATCAGATGATATCCAGCCTGTTGGGTTGTGATTGGTGACCTCTAACCAACCTCTGGTTGGTTATCTCAAATATATCTGAGTCTCTGCTGATCTCAGATTCTCACCCGCACACCTGGCAAGTTTCATCGCATGCCCACAGCCACACAAACACTAAGCTGTCTCCAGTGAGATTTTCCATCAGCAGAAGTGATAAAGCACTGACTTACTCTACGATAAGCAAAGACTGTTTCTTAAAAGCTCCTTTTGCCTGGAAGTATCCTTACAAATTTTTGTTTCACTTCCACACTGTCCATACGTTTATGTGCGCTCTCTCTCCCTCTCCTTCTTTTATCCTAAAACCTCAGCTGCAGAGAGACGTATCACTCTGCAGGAAATATAATAGATATAGATATAATAGAATAATCATGTTGATAATCGATGGGGCTGCATGGTGGTGCAGTGGTTAGTGAGACAGGAGCCTCTCTCTGTGGAGTCTGCATGTTCTCCCCGTGCGGGTGTGTGGGTTCTCTCCTGGTACTCCGGCTTCCTCCCACAGTCCAAAGACATGCTCGTTAAGTTAACTGCTGACTCGGTAGGTGTGAATGTCCGTCTCTATATGTCAGCCCTGTGATTGACTGGTGAACAGTCCAGGGTGTAGACCCCGCCTCTCGCTCCATGAAAGCTGGGATTGGCTCCAAACCCCCCCACGACCCCAAACGGGAAAATAGGTATAGATAATGGATGGATTAGATGGATAATCAAATTATAAAACAGAATTTAAAAACTTTATGAAAGCTGTTCACTGAGGCAGCGGGGTACAATAAAAGCAGACTGTTCAGAGAAATATCCTGATGAAATAGCCACCATTTATAGATATTTGATGATTAATTCCTAAATGACACAAAGCAAAGGGGCCAAGATTTTTCTCAACCACAAAAGGATTTTTTTTTTACTAATTTAATGATTTCTCCATGGTGGGAACCCTCCATCTGTAGAGAAGAGAGAACAGTCTTTGAGAGTGAAAAGCAGAACACAGTGGTCAGACACTCACATAGCAGGCTGCTCCTTGTCTGTGTAGCAGAACAGTAACGGACTGAGACTGCGGGCCAACTCGTGCTCCTCAAACTGTCCGGCTGCGTCGGCTTTACCGTTGTCCTGACGGAAGATTAACGGCAAACCTGATGGAGGAACGTGGCGTTAAGAGAACGATTGCAGAGAGAACAGTTTGGATTGATTTGTTTGTTTCCACAAAGATGCAAAAAAAAAAAAACCCTTACCAGTTTTGTTGATCAGCCAGTAGGGGGCAGAAATGAGGATCTTCAGCGCTCCCTGAGCCCTCAGGATGATGCGGATGGTGAGACAGAGCAGATGTTTGTTGGTGTCGTACAGCCTCATGCGGACCACGTAGTTCTGCGTCCCGGGGGGGATCAGCAGCTCTTTGCACACCGGGAAACTCTCCAGCAGGACTCCTGAAGGAAACGCATCACAGATTCAGAACAAACACAAAAGTTCAGGGAATGACCGGCTGACAAGACGTTGAGTGAGTCCTGACCTAGCTCCATGTTCTGCGAGGTGTCTGCAGCATGAAGCACCGCCTCCTTCCCCGGCTTCAGCGAGCCTTTGATGGACGTCCCTTTGATGTAGAAGTTGAGGTCGCAGGGCAGCAGGTTGGCGAGCACCATGGTGGGCAGCAGGTAGATGGTGTGGCCCGGCTGTCTGTAGATCTGCTTTGCACTGCCAGAAACCCTCTTAGCGGGCTGCTGGTCCGGGTAGTTCTCCTTTTTGATGACCACACAAAACCTGCAAAGACCAGAGGTGATTACTGCCAGGTTTTTAAAAAAGACAAGAACTAAGAGTATAACAGCTGACCCGGCAGAATCTACCTGAAGTTACGCTTGTTGTTGTCATCAAAGTCTGCAGACTGACACTCCCTCTTACTGCTGCTGGTCTCCCCGGGTCGCTCCACGCTGGTCCAGTGGATGGGAACCTTACAGAAGAACAGACCGAGGCCTTTGGGCCGAGCCTGCAGCCGCCAGGATGTGAGGTGGAGGGGGACCGCCAAGGCCTGGCTCGGCAGGATGGGGGGCAGCACCACCGGTTCTGTCAACACAGGAACACAGTCATCTTAAATCTGAACAACAAAATCTAAATATCAATTCAAAGCAGTGGAAAAAACAATCTTACTGTCAGGAGCAGAGGGGCTGTCCAGTCGGACCTCCATAGGAACATCCAGCCGGTTCTTCACCATGAGGGCGGAGCGGACTGTGATGACTTTCCTGGCGCTGCCCTCCATCGTGATGGAGAAGACAACTCTGACCGGAGGGAGGGCCGAAAACTGACGGGATGAACACATTCAATTCAATGCAAAACGTCAAGTCCATAAATTCATATTTAGACTTTAAAGCAAACAGATTTCCTGTAGTTTAAGTCTTTAAAAGAAGCAGAGTCTCTATTTTATATGCACAGATGAGCGATTAGGACTTACGTAAACATGTGGGTGGATGATGTTGGTTCTGCTTATAGGACTGCCGACCTATTGGAACATTTAAGGAAAAAAACATTAAGACACTAAGACACAATTCTTTGAAAAACCTCAAAATGTCTAAAGCGGACGCTGTTGCTTTGTCCAAACTCTCCAGTAAAGAGACCCCCCCCTGTCTGTCAGGTATAGTCTCCCGCTGTAAGGTGCATGTGTGAAAAACCAGGTCAGGAGGATTTCAGGGGCAGACCGCCTGAAATACTCCTGAATTTCTCAGGAGATTTTATGTGAAAATGTCTGAAGAGTGTGTGACTCACAGTGTTGGAGGAGCTGTTTCTGTCTGCGTTTGCATAGCGGAAGAAAACGCCCACTTTGTCCACAGACACGGGTTTGACTTGCTCCCATCCACAGACCCGGACCAGCAGCTGGTGCAGCTTCAGCTCATGGGTGTGTCTGCAGAGGAAGAGGAAGCAGCAAGAGATGAGTGATAAACACGCCTAATCTACAATATGCACATGTGTGTAAAGAAAACAGCTGTTTTTAAATCGCTCCTCTGTGAACAGAGCTGTACCTGTGTCTGAGCTTCTCACGTGCTTCAAACTCAAAGGGGATCTCCTCCCCGGGCAGCACCTCCCTCCACTGACTCACATTGTGTGTGTCATCAGTTCCTGTACCGTGAACCTCTGAGATGGAGTCGGCACTGCTGCTGTGAGACAGCGCCACCCTGTGGAGAAAACGTGAACAGTTTGAGGTGGAGATCAGGAGGGAGAAAAAAAAAACTCTCTTCACATCTTCATAATGAAAAACCGATATTAACTCTCACAGATTATCTGTTGGATTTTAGAACTAGAACAGGTAGATGTAATAATTTAATCTTTGCAGTAGTTATTTTGTGATCTTGACCTGTATCAGGTGTTCAGCATACAGACTTTTAATCATTCTAATGTTAATGTTCTTGTTTCTTAGGGTTGATCCAAATCGCTGAAACATGCAGGAAATAAAATGCAAAGCTCAAAAAAAGGTCACACTAGGTGTTCTCAGACAGCAGGAACTTTTTCATAGTTATAGGAACTGTTAGAAACCTCCCCCCTTTATTATTCACTCTCCACCGCAGGAACTAAGAACTAATTTAGTGCCTAGAACCCAGTTTAGAGGAACCTTTTTAGCTCCTGCTTCAGAGGAGGTACTCTCCCAGCAACATGGGTGCAGACATAAAAAAAAAAAAAGTCCCTATAGCGTGCAGTTCTCAGGGAACTCCGTGGTGGAAAGTTCCTCTTCAAAAAGTCACCAGAATCAGGACTACTAATTTAAGCATTCCTATACGGTTTTTCATCCAGAAGTCAAACAACAGTTTCTGCATCAAACTTGGTTTAAAGTAGTCAGAGGCATTATGACATCATAAGAGTACATTTTCAAACTGCACTTTATCTGCATAATATTCTTTTAAGGTTTATTTTTGGGTGTTTGGCCTTTATTTGATAGGACAGTGGATAAAGGAGGAAATCAGTAGAGAGGGGGGAATGACATGTTGGCCGCCTGCTTGGAGGCCGTTCATGGGACATGACCTAACCGCTAGGCCATCTGCACCCCATGAACATATTCTTTGTTTGAAAACTCATCAAGCTTCTGTTCTTATTTTTTTTTAAATATGAAACATTACCTGACTTTTGATGATGTCATGCTGAAATCAAACAAAATAAACCGTCTGCACAAGTTTCCAACATGTCTACCTGAATGATGTCGATCCACCTTTAGTCTGGATTCTGGTAAACGTGGCGTTCCCTCACGTATCAGTACGCTGATCTATATCTCTTTTTAAAAACACATTTCTATAAATGTACTTTTTTCTAATCTGAGCGTTTGGAATTTGGACAATTTCCAAATGAAGGCAGCATCGAAGGCGGTTCCCCCGAGTGTTTCTCTTTGTGTCGGATTTGAACCCGGGTCACCCGCTTAGAGGCCACCGTACACGGCGGCGCACGCACTAACCACTAGGCTATCGACAACGCCACTTCTATCCTCTGGGGCTCTCCTGTTGTATAATCACCGAACTATAAAGTCTTGACTTTTCTAATCAAGGTCTTCCACTTTGTAACCCCACTTTAAGAAGTTTTATATGAATACAGTTGATTATTGTTATTCTTCATGGTCACACCTACCTTGTGGGTGTCGTGGTCAAAGTGGCAAACCACATGGTACATCCTGTGTGGTTACGGAGCGCGTACGGCACAAACGGCTGCCTCCTCTTGGACAGTTTTACATCTGATTGGGAACAGAAATGGAAAAAAACAAAAAACAAATCAGGTAAAAGACATGGGCACTTGATTTTACATGATTCAGATCTAGCTTTAGCAGCTAATGTTGAATTCTTAAAGTCATGCACTTGCTTTCTTCTCAGTCTGTGAGACTGGAAAAGCAGCCAAAGCAACCGGGGCCTTGAGATGATTTCCTTTAAAGGGGGACTCCACCAAATTTACAAAAACAAAAAGATCAACAACAAATCAAAGAGAAAAAAAAATCCCTGAAGAGTTACTACGGCTGAATACGTAGCTATGAACACAGGCTGTAACTGAATGTTTTGGATTCATCATGAAGTGTTTCTGGGGCTTGAAACAAACTTAAGAAGTGAACAGAATGATCCACTCTTTAAAATGTGTCCCCATCTTTGTAGATCTTATTGGGAGTTTCCCTTTAAAAAGGCAACTTGTTTACAAATGATTAAAGTTATTCTACACATGAAAATAAAGCTCCATATGTGAAATCAGCTGTAAACTTTAAAGGTCACATATTCTGCAGAATCCTCTTCCCCATGTTCCTCTAACTCTAATATGTGTCTCTAGTCTGTCTACAAACCCCCCAATGATGAGAAAAGTCCATCCTCTCCATCTTCTGCCTGTTCCACTTTTCAGAAAATGTGTGCTCAAACAGGCCGTTTGGAGATTTTCCCTTCATGACATCACAAAGGGCAGTAACCCCCAGCTTTAAGTCCCCCAGGTGTGTGACACTCCCACAGCTAGGTGTTTGTTCTGCCCTCTGAGTCTGCCTTCTCACCGTAAACAATAGGATATGGAGCGAGAAAGCACAGAGTACACCCAAGCCCTTCCAGAGAGGGGGCGTGGTCAGACACAGCTCATTTACATATTTAAATGTACAGACACAGAAACAGCCTATTCTGAGCAGGGCTGAAATAGAGGGGTTTATAGGCATGATCAAAAACAGGATCAGAGTGGATTTAGAACAAGAAACTTCACACACATGTTTTGAGGAGCTCTTAGACTTTTTTAAACTGAAGAAAAGGAGGAGGATATGTGACCTTTAAAGGAGTGAAACATAAACGTAAACAGCATTATTTAGATCGTCTTTGAGGACAACTTAAGTGGAATGTGCTGATCAGATCCTGCTCCATATTTACCGTCAAACAATAATCGTATTGTTTGCAGGGGTTTGAAAATGACAGTACACTCATGTACCACAATAATTAAATAAAACTTATTGAACAACAAAAAACACTTTAAAAGCAGGCGCAGGTTTGAATAAATGCATCAACAGCTCTGTGTCCAGCAGTTGCAACTTTAAGTTTGCAAGTCAAAACTAAAATTATTTTTTCACAAGATTCACCGCACACAAGATTTAACGCCTTTTGCTTCATCACAAACTTGAAAGCCATGCAAGTAATAAAAAGAAGAAGTAAATCAGCCGTCTTGTGTGCGCTCAATCTTCTGATTTGCTGTCAGGATGATGTTTCCTGGCATCACCTGCACTAAGATATTTGTTCTGACAGTGATGTGCAAAGGGCGTCCACGTTTGTGTAAAAGTTATTTCATATTCATGAACACACCCGACGTGGTACAAAAACTTCTGGACACAAAGAAACTGCAGAGAAATGACTGATGGAAAAAATGCAAGTGTATCATTGTACGCTCCTCTTATACATCCTACACAAGATGGACAGTGTGGCAAGCACAAACATTCACAATGGATTCAGTCAGTGGTCATGCAGTGGAAAAAGTCGCACTGTAACAGATCAAACAGAAGGAGAAGACAGACGGGCCGGGCATGTATATGTTAGTTATTATACTGTCATCAGCACGACTAAAGCCAGCGATACTACTGTCATCTGTGAGTTGTGAAGCAGATTTAATTGAACCACAGCCGGCACCAGACAGAACTCCCGAGTCCTGACCCGTAAAAATGAGCAATAAACGATATGTCTTGGATTCATGGTTTCATAATCATCCTGTGACGCCTGATGGTCTACTGGGTACTGGGGACGCATTTTTGAATCCTGTTGTAAATCATGTAATTACAATTGAGGATTCCTCTTTCGATCTGTTTGATCTCTGAGGAGGTCAAGATCAGCGAGGGGTCAGAGAAGAACCCCAAACCTGGTTTTGTTAGAATAGACTTCAAAGCTATTTGTAAAAGAAGCTAAATACATGACATTTGATCTTTGTGTTGATTTGTTGGTTTCTAAGTGACCCTGTGGAGTTTTCGTGTTAAAGGCTAAATCTGTGATTTTTCACACTTAAATGTAATATAAATCAAGTATATCCTCTGAAAATAACTCTGTGAGTCATGACTGTCTACAATGGGTGTAACACCAGAGTCCCACTGTCTGTGATGTTTTCAGAGTTTTCCGAGTCCTATCTTCAGTTTGTTTACATCGCCGGAATGGCCGGCCGACTCCTCCCCTCGTGTATAAAAGTTGTTTAATTGAGGGACTAGAGAAAAGAAGAATAACATACTGTACTCACTGCTTAACTGTGTTTCTAGATCACACTCATTTCAGGTAAATTTACATGCAGTGTGAAGATACGAGCATAATAAAGATCGCTAGCATTAGCATGCTAACACAACAATGCAGTGCAAGTTGTTTTGGTTTCATGCAGGTGCTCGAGCGACATCTGCTGGATCCTCCTTGAAGTGCAAACTAAATGGGAAATCAAAGCTTCATAGTGTCTGTGTGGGTTCTCAGTTAACCAGGTCATGGTGAATTTGAAGCTTGATCCAAACTGGACTTAGCTGAAGATGTTGACGATGTTTCACCTTCTTGGGTTCTAAACTAACTGTTCGACAGAGCAAAAAAAAAAAATGAAGCCTCTGGGGATCATTATGAAGGATGGTCATATGGGAGTAGTTAGCAGAGTCATCTGTGGGTCGTTGGGGTCACATGTTTTAAGTACGAAGAAGGGCTTCAAGTTGTTAAACTTTTGGTGCGTTCAATTTGATCTCTGAAGTCGGAAATTCTGAGTTGCCTCTCTCTGACTTTCCCTCAGAATCTATAAAGTATGTATCTATCTTTAACTGCTTGTGATTACAGCCTGTCCTGCACATGTTTTATATGAAACAAATACATGTGTGTGTCTGCAGATTGATCATAAATGACTTGACTACTGGCCAATATGAGGACGGTGATCTCTGAGTGATCTTCTAGTTCCTAAAGCGAGTGTTTTCTCCTGATGTGCAGGAGGAACAGTGTGGCGTGTTCTGCTGCAGGAGACTGTCTGGGCGGCTAAACTCTGAACTGTACCTCTGGAGTGAATCTGCTGCTCGAGGCAGGTCAAGCTGGCAATGCTCCTAGTTCTAAGGTGAGCAAGAGGAGCACCTGACAGCAGAGAGAGGGACAGTTACTACACAACAGAGACACATGCAGAGGAAACACACAAGAGGGTTAAAGAGAGGTTCATCATCCTCATTCTGTACTCTCCAGCAATCAGCACGTCTCTGCAAATCAAGACTTTTACAAACAGTGCAGGTCATGCTTCACTTCGAGTCATCTCCGTTTCATTTACAACATATCACAAGTTTATCCACTTCCTGTTGAACAGACGGACCACAGGAACTTGGCTGATGAGCTGCAGGTTTTGATAATAATTTGATTGACGAATGTTACATGTATGACTTAGCCTGGTTAGCTAATATCGCAATAAACTAAACATCATCATGAAAGGTTCAAGCAAGGCAGCTAAACCCTCACAGAAACCATGGCAACCCGTCAACCAAGTTTCTCACAGAACATGAAAACGTACAAATCAATTATTCTGTGTTTTTAACATCATTGAAAATGAAAAATTGAAAGCTAAATGTAGGTCAGTCTGTAAACAAAAACACGGGAAGAATAGATTATTTCTTAATTTCTGACAACATTTCCTTGAGGGTTCTTTGACCTGTCGTATACCGAAATGTTTAACCAAATACTTGCACCTTTGTCCCTCCAAAAATAAAAAATAAAACGAAGTCTATGGGTATTAAGATAAAACCTGAGTAACTGCCTGAGGTCTGACTTACTCTGACCAACGCTGGGGGGGTCGACTGAGGAGCCCAGCCAGGGTAGGGCGGGGGAAGACTGTGGGGACTGCTCCTCCTCCTTACAGTAGTCGGCTATCCAGGAACTCTTGGTGGTGTTGTATTGTTCTGGAAAGACCACAAAATGGCATTTTAACCTTTTGGCTTTCAGGGCAAAAAAGTGGTACTTAGTGATTAGAAAAAAACTTTTGTTCAGTCGTCTGTGCAGCTAAAATATATTATGATTTATGTGCAGATATGGTAGTGCAAAAGAATCTCACCCAATAAAACAGAAGTGATGTTGACGTCCAGTCTCTGCTTGGCTCGAATCCCCATCTTCAGACGTGGAGGGTGGAGACGCCCGGCGGCCTGCTGCTGCCAAGACAGGGAGCAGGACCAGGGCTCGATGAAGGGCTCCCAGCCTGACAAACACACAAAGTAGAAAGTTAGTCATCTTGTTTTGGTTTTTTTTAAGATACATTTTTGGGGCTTTTTTGGGCCCTTATTGTAGAAATGGATTATCCCACTCATGGTCAGAGAGATGTTCTCTAAAAGGAAAGTGATTAATACATAGGATAAATGCCCTGCTGTAAGATGATGGTGTTACCTGACAGCTCTCTGTTGTAGTAGTCTCCAGACAGAGTGAAGCTGGTGTTTCCTTCCTGGACGGAACCGATCCGCTGCAGCACATAAAGTCCTGAAATGACAAACGGACACCATCAGGATATGAGAGATACAAGAGGAGTCATGTTCCACTTTGTGTTGTGGTGGTTTGCACTTTATTTTGAAGCACCATTAGTTGTGAAGTGTTGTTACCAATTAACTATTTAGAAACCATTAAATGATTTCTCTTTTATCATTCTACAATTAATTTATCAGATGTTTATATGCAAAGTTACGAACATCAGAGAGTAAGAACAACACGAGCAAGAGAGGAGGAAACAACGACAGGCAGTGCAAACAAACAGCTTTAAGTCTGATCGGACACAGAGGTGCTGACAGGAAGTGACCAGAGGCAGAGCTCAGGTACTGACAGGAAGTGACCAGAGGCAGAGCTCAGGTGCTGACAGGAAGTGACCAGAGGTGCTGACAGGAAGTGACCAGAGGTGCTGACAGGAAGTGACCAAAGGCAGAGCTCAGGTGCTGATAGGAAGTGACCAGAGGTGCTGACAGGAAGTGACCAGAGGCAGAGCACAGTTTTTTTTTTTTATAGCTAAAGTTCATAATGCAAGAAGTCCAGACCGTAAGGTTGTAAATTCATGATTGAAGCTGAGGATGTTAGTTTTCAATGTTTCCTGAGAATGAGGTGAAAGAAAATGTGGCCCCTCAAGCTGCGGATATAAACGGGACTCACTGGAGAAGGTGAGCTCAGCCAGCGGTATGTCACAATCCAGACAGTCGTCGATTAAACAGATGCAGACGCTCTCGGCCTTCACCTCGACCCCGGACAGAGGAGCGGAGTGGCTGCTGGAGCTGGAGTCCGCCCTGGATCTGGCCATGTTCTCTGCGTTCTCCAGGAGCCACGTGGCGGCCTGGTCCAGCTGACCTGTGGGTCACATTCAATAACTATCAAGACTTGGAATACCAGGATAAATGGATCATCATAGAAGTTTAGGTCACAGCTACCTTTACAGTGGATCAGGGCTCTCTTGCAGTCCTCTTTCCTGAAACCGAGGTCTTGTAATCGGGTCAGCTGGCCCTCTGCAGATACAAAACACAACCTCAGAAACTTTAAGAGTTTTTCACAATACCAGAATAGTTCAAAGGATATCTGTCCTAACATGATGTTGGGTAATTTCTTTTGTTTTTAATTACTGTACTAAAAATTGCAGGCAAACGCCCGCAGACTGTCAATGTTGCAGAAATATTTTGACAACATTTCAAACGAATGTTTGCAAGTTGGACAGTCGTAAAATATCCCTGAAGGTCTCCAGGTTTTTTTGATAATTGGTAGTTCTCAATTCGATTAATCTTTTAAATAATGTAAATTGTATCATTTTAAAACATGTGAAAAAAGTCTCAAAAAGTAAACTTTGTTCCAAGTTGGGATCGAACAGATTCTGAGCATTTACCATTGATAGAGACTTCAAATCCTTTCTTACCTATGAGGGCCTCCGTCTTCTGCCTGAAGCTGTCTTTGGGTGGAGCAGAGGACTCTGCCCCCTGTGGCTCGGTGGGGGGCTGAGGAGTTCTAGCAGTCGGGATGGACTTTGCGATGGCCAAGAAGAGCTGAATGTCGTTATAGGACAGACGGATGTCCAGAGCAGGAAACTGAATCTGTTAGAAAATGACAGGCAGAAGGAAATATTGAATCCCGCCAGTCTACATGTCAAACTCACTTCCTACCCTAACCCCTAAGCCTTTTTTTTTTTTTTATAGCTACAGTTAGAACTAATCATCCTGTGCTATAATACGTCCTCTTGTTCTGGATTTGTAAAGACTGAGAAAATAACTTTATCTTGGAGGATTTACATTTATAAAAAAAATTGGAAGCATAGTTAAAAGAAAGTTTGAGTTTGAGCCATACTGGAAATCTAAAACTGCTGAACAAAGAAAAGCATTGTCCACAGTCTCATGTTGTGTGTCATATTTGAGAGCTAACTCCTGACCTCCAGCAGCGGTGGGATGTCCTCCACGTTGAAGGCGTCTAGTAAACCCGAGCTGCTTTGGTACGTGGGGCTCCCACACAGCTCCACCTGGACATTGACCGGATCGATGATGGACAGCGCCGTCTCCTGCTCGCTGCCCAGCCGACATGAGAACACCTGGGTGGGGGGGGGGGAATCGTAGGAAAGTCGTTTAGTGGTAAATTCAGTCTGACAGTCTGAACAAATTCACCAAAGTTATGACTAGGTGCTGGTCTCTGACACGCTTTGGGTCATAATGATGGGAGAAGGTGGATGTAGCACTAACAGCAGTTATAGTTTTTCTAATTGCAGTAAAAGTACAAGAAGTACCCGAGCAAAAACGGATCAGCAGCAGCTATCAGACATACTTCATGAAAATAATCTGATTTTTCTCTACTTCCTCCACAAGCTGAAAAAGTCAAGGGCCCGGCAGGAATCAGCATCTCACTTTCCTCATTCCCGGACATTTATAACACCCGCCTCTCACCCTCAAAGCCTCCAGCATTGTGTGTTGACCCCAGTCCCCAGCCATCCGTCACACAGACTCTTTAACCTCCTGCCATCTGGGAGACGATACCCGAGACTCCGAGCCTGCTCCACCAGACTCATGAACAGCTTCACCCACCTCTCCCCCCTGACCCTGACAACTCTGGACTTTAAACCTCCACTGCCCATCATGGAGCACCACTGTCTTTCTCTCTTTCGCTGTCTCACTCTCCGTCTCTCTGCCCCCCCCCCCCTTCCCACCTCACCAGGAAAATCTAAATAAGCATCGGACACTTTACCCTAGCGTCACTTTATATTTTACACTGTCCTCAACTCATCAGCAACACAGAAGCATCTGTCCATGCACATGTGTTGTTGTTGCTGTTCTTTTGAAAGCACATTATCTTTGTACTTTTGTATATCTGATTTTCCATTTGTTATACTTTTACAGTTTGCGTCGTGGGTTGTAGAGAAACGATTTTTCTGTATTTCCAGTACGTATGGAAAATACTGACATTAAAATTGCCTTTGACTTCTCTGTCAGGTGTGCACACTGAGAAACTGACTTCAGTTTTTACACAACTCTCAAAGTATCGATGAAAAAAACCCCACAAATGATTCATTGATTGAAATATTTGGACAGTGGAGGAGCTGACCTCTATTCCTGCGAGGCTGCCGGAGAAGGGTCTGTCCAGCAGACGGGGTTTGTATGTGAGGACGGTGGTGCCTTTTAGGATGATGGCGTTTGTATCCAGACAGGACGAGTCCTCCACGACCACAAACTCCGTTCCTGAAGGACAAACACAGAACAGAACATCAGCAGAACAAAATAAGAACATGACTCAGTCCTTTACGGTTTAATGCTTATGGGTGACGGCATTGATCACTCCTTCATGAAACATTTAACATGCTCTTTGACAAATTAGCTTATTGTCTATTTGAGTGGTTTCCTAAATGTCTAAATGACCTCGCAGCTAGCTACATTCTGACCTCCTCCTTCCATATTCCCCCACCTCGTCCACTCAGATCATCTACAGTAATCTCGGCCTGCTTTCCATCCCCGGCTCTAATTGTTTAAAAAAATGGTGATCGAATCAACTCCCACAAAGCGTCAGATCTGCAGAATCTTTGGACAATTTCAAGAAGAAACTAAAAACTCACCTGTGTACACGAGCCCTCATGTTAAGTCCCAAATCATCTTTTGTATTTGCCTGATCTAAACTTTGCTCTGCTTGACGTTGTGATTTAAAAATGTTCTCTCTGTATGAATTGTTTGACTGCTCTTATGTGAGTACCTGAGGGTTTTAAGGGTTATATAAATCAAGTATAGCATCCCATTAATCCAGCCATCCATATATACCCAATAATTCACTTTTTTTAGTCTACATCTGTAAATTTTGTAATTACTTGTACATAGCACAGATTCTTGCACTTTCTGCTTCTTGCACTTCTGGTGAGATGCCAAACCTCATTTCGTTACTCTATACTTGTATATGTGTAATGACAATAAAGTTGAATCTCATCTCATCTGATCTCAAGTGTTATCTACTTACTCACTTAATAGATACAACCTGGATTTCTAAACTCTTGCAGAAGCGTGTGGTTAGTAAGGTTTTCTGTCAGGTTTCTAGGTTGCAATAAGAGAAACGGTAATAATAAATCAGTAATTCTACAGACTGTGTGTTTTTTAAATTAGAACTGTCCTCTGTCTTTCCACAAGTGAAAGTGCTTATAGTATTATTTTATCTCCATTCTATTTATTGCTTTATTTAATTAATGTAAATATGTTTGTTTTTAAACTTTTTGCTATTTTTACTAATTATACTACTGGTTTTGAGCTGTTGTAGTTTATCTTTATCTTTAAGACTGTTCCAAGCTGTTACCATTGATAGAAACTTTGTCAGCACTTTGTCGGTTCATAATTGTTACCAAATTGAGTTCTGTTACAACTGTCTGACCTCGGCCGATTAAGCCGCGTTATAATCCACAGTCTGTTTCACGATTTCATCACTGAATTTATACAGCAGCAACAACCTCCACCCAACACAAGCCTTGAAATACTAAATAGGTGCTACAGTGTGGTTGTTGTTCTGGCGTTGGATTTTGGGATCCAACAAGAGGCAGAAACAGTTGCCTATATTATCATTGTAATGTGACTAATAGTTAAGATGTGAAAGGTTTTGACTCCACTATGTGAAAAACTTTCTTAATTTATTGTATTTAAAACAGTCAAAGACATTCAGGGGTTATTGTTATCTCCTCAGTCATACATTGTTCTTCTCTGACCTGTGACGTTGATTTTGACCTCCAGGTATCGATCCTGGGTGACTGGCACTGTGGACCTCTTGGTGACCACCCCGCTCTTCACTGTCTTTGGCATAACGGCTCCGCTGGTTGTGGCACCGGTCGTGCCGGAGGCCGAGTCCGTGCTGGTGTTACTGGGCCAGCGCTGGCGCGTCCCACCTCCTTCTGACGCCTTCTCCGCTGGACCCCGCAGGAAGTCTCGCACCAGCTGGAGCCAGTCGAAGATGAGGAAGACCCTCAGGTTGTTGAGGACCACGGTGAAGCAGGAGGAGTCTCGTGTGGATCTGCAGCAAAGAGGAACACAACTGAAATAAGACACAAAACGTGAAGGAAATGAGTTTCATGGGTTTCAGAGTCTCCACTCATACCGATAATGCAGTTCCAGCTGCAGTGACGCCCGGTTCGTTCCTGTTTTAGACGGTTGCAGGATGCAGTCGAAGGTATTGGGCCTTGCACCATCAGCTCCCCTAGTTCTTTTATTCACTCCAGTGAACCGAGTGTCGTAAGCCAGCAGGGAGTGAGACACCAGGTTGACTGAATTGGAGCCATTTGAGAAACTCTCATAGAGCAGCTTGGATTTCATGAAGTCAAATCTTTGGCAGGAGAATAATAAAACATGATTAGTGAAATGTCTAAATCTTCAACACGGTTCCTTCACAATTATATTGCAGCCTGACAAGCTTGGGTGGTGCATTTTATTAGATTTGGAAACGTAAATAGTTTTTATTTCACAGAAAAAAGAAAAGAAGAAGAAAGAAAAAAGGTCCACCTTGCTAATGATCGTTTCTGTTCACAGAGTTTGGGTTTGTCCAAGAGCTCCAGACTGACATCCATCATGTCCACCAGGAAGGATAAGTTTGTGTAGACGTCACCACTCAACACCGTCTGAGGAGAGACACCATGACAGTTCATGTACCACAACGTATTTATAAATAAGAGTATTTCTCCTTATTTGTATGGACACAGATCATAATGTAAATATCATCCTCTTCATCTGTCATGAATCGACGCACATTATCTCAGTGTAAATACTGGAAACTATCTACCGCATGTTAATTCTTCCACCTGTTACAGAATTAATAATCATGGTTATTTAGCCTTCTTGTATTTTGTATGTATTGGTTAAATGGTTTCATATTTCATATTTAAAGCTTTTGCATAGAGAGCAAAGTTAACGGTGGAGTATGATTGTAATGATCCCTAAATGAAGCTTATGTGTTGTAATTCAACATGTAAGGCCCTTGTCTCACATAGGTGCTGGGGTCCTGCAGGTTGTAGGGTCTCAGGAAGTCTTCAACGGGCTCTCCCAGGTTGTGCTCCAGCAGACCTCTGATCAGCTGATAGTGCTCCAGGTCCAGCGAGCAGTGGACTGACGACAGGCTGCCGTGGATGGACGTGTCAGGTACTGCATGGCTCAACTCCCTAACAACATCAACAAACACAAGCATTAGTTTGGATAAGGAGCTGAATACAGATACATAGACATACATGTTCAATGTAAAGAGGCGGGTCTTACTTGTCCAGGTTGCGTTCCACTTTGAGCTTGAGGCGGCAGCAGTTTTTGAGCAGGTTGCCTCCGGTGCGACGGACAGAGTACGAGGGAAATATGAGGTCTGATGATTCTGGAGGTTTAACAACACTGTCCCAGAGCTGAGAGGGTAGACGCTCTGCAGCGAAGATGTCCATCTCCTGCAGGTCCAACGCTATGCAGTCCAACAGGCACACGTGGTCTTCTAACGTGGGAAAACACAAGTTGACAAACAGTTATATTTGGGTAACCTGAGTGTCTACTGACCCACAAAATGTGAAATAAACCCATCCAGTCCTTTGTTTGTGGTCTGCATAAGTCTTACAACACAGAGAAAAATGCTCTGTTTCAAATGTGCTCTCCTTGTGATGTCACAGTGGGATTCTGGTAAAAAAAAAAACCCTCCCCTGGTATCTCTACTCGTGGACTCCACCCCCAGCCTAGAGCAAAACGTTTGAGCAGGTCCGCCATTTTTATTCTTGCTAGTGAAGAAGTGATGTCTACGGGGAAAACTCAGGGGGGGCTCATTGCATTTAAAGAGACACACACACCAAAATGGAGCGTTATGAGAGAGCTGGGGGTCACAAACCTCCTCTGGTGCTTGATTCATGTTATATTTTGACCAAAGCACAGCACAGATGTTTCATCTAGACCACAGGGGACTGTTTGAAAAGGTGGAGGAGGGAGATAATATGTCCTCTTTAAAGGTTATTTTTCCAATTCACCTCCTACAAACAGAACCTACACGTGCGTCTAATGGCTTTGTTCTTAATCATACAGCGATGCTCACCTAAGCTTTGAGGGCCGTCCTCTTCAGGGACCCTCCCCGCGTCTGGGAACTGTGGCCGGCCAAGGGTGAACCCTGTGGAGGAGGCGGGCGTGGAGGGGGAAGTTTTCGGCTTCTCCGGCTCAGTACTCCTCCCTGCTGCACTCCGAACACGATCCTTTGGTGAGGGAAAGAAGTGATAAGAGACATATATTGCACATATATTGACGACATACCACAAATAAAAAATAAGCAGATTATTACTTTTTTTTAAAACTGTGCTAGGCCAGAAGTTGTGTCCTTTACAGGGTCCGTCTAAAAAGGTATTTCTGTCACCGTTTCTACTTTTTGATAAAAGTCAAAAGCTCTGCAGATTCCTTTTAAAAAGTAATAATTTAATGACTCTGTGCCATTGTCTTCTTTGCTAGAAAAGAAACAAATTCAGCACGTCAGTATGTTTTTCTCTTTTTTTTCAAAAGTGAATCAAACCAGAAGTCAAAGAACATTTAGACCCGGTCGCTCAGACGATGGGAGGGAATCGAATCATCTCAATGAGCGCTGGTATTTCAAGATCAAACTGTCAAAACAATACACCAACTTCTCCAAATCCTCTGATCACCGTGACCTCCACATTCTGTGTGATGAAAATATCATGGTAAGGAGTGCTGGGCAACTAATCGAGTTTCAATTTCAAGTACAATATTGGCGTCCCACGATCGTGAAAACATTATAAAGGAGATTAAACGATCAATGTGCTGCATGCCTTGTTGCACTTGTTTTGTTCACAGGTTCTGTCAAGTGTGTTAAATGTTTCAAAGTGTCTAATGTTATATTTTGGCGACAAGAGAATAATCATCACTACCTGACAAAACGTAGTTCATATCATATCACTAATGAGCTGTTTGCGAGGAGAAGAAAAAATCAGACGATGGTATCCTTTATTTTTTGGATCTTTTTTAGTTTCAGCAGTTAAAGAATATGACAATTGTCAAGAACGTTTAGATGCTGGTCCTGAACGCTCTGGATTTGTTTGGACCAGAGAAGGTAGGCGGTTTTAATGCATCCCCCACAGGGCCGTTTTGGACTCCCCTCGGTTTGCCAGATATGAGAGCAGTTATCAGGTCAAACCAACAGGTGTTGCAGCGATGGAAGCGGGCAAGAGAAGTGGTTCAGATAGAAGTGATTGTACCCGACCTAAAAAGCCTCTGCATGTTTCTAATAAGCTCCACGAGCAGAAACGTGCTCAAACTAGGATCAATATTGGAGATGCTTTTGAAAAATGGAGAGAGGTTAGAACACAGAAAGGTTTACAGACCCATGCAGAGCTGGATAAACACTGAAGCTTCAGTGTCCACCACATGGTGACCTGCGTGAGCATCGACTTTAGGGGGGGGGTGGGAGACAGCTCTCTACAATGTTTAGAATTTAGACTGCAGTACCCATTGTAAACACTAGGTGTCGAAGTTACATATTGCTGCTTTAAAGATCTAAGTTGAACAGGTTTTTAGAACCAAAAAAAAGTTAAATGACTGTTAAAGTTATACAAAAAGACAGAATCAAGGAGATTGGAGAGTTGGTGTATTTCATGAAAAATTAGATCAATCCAACCAAAACCATAACCAAACCACAAACTGCAAAACAACTTCAAACCAGGCCTGAACAATCCATCATTAGAATCTATGTCTATATGTTATTAAAATACTGTCAGCCGTGTTCAGTGTGTTACTGAAATGTTATCTTGTACTGGGAAATTTTGACACTATCACAACCCTTCTCCACACCAAAGAGCAAAAGCATGCTGTTGTACCTTGTAATGAGACGGATCCTTGTATGAACTTCCATGCAATATAAAATTCTTAACACAAGAAAAAAAACATGTGCAAATGAAAGACCTGATAACATTTTCCAGACAGTGTTTTCTTTCTATACTGGAGTGATCTTTGAGCTGCCTCTGAAATTCACAAATCAGTGTTTGATGACTGAGAAAGCCGGATCATGCCTATAAACCCATCTATTTCAGCCCTGCTCAGAACAGGCTGTTTCTGTGTCTCTTTGTGATGTCATTAAGGGAAAATCTATTTTATTCTTCTGCAAAACATCTGTCAGTATTCATTGAGGATTTCTCTTAAGAATGAGATGATATCATTAGAAAATATCTGTGAAGAGTAAAGTAATCCAAGCACAAAGAGGGGAAAGGTTTTTTTAGTATTCAGTTATTTTTGATTTAATGAATACAGTGCGATTAGCCGAAAGAGGAGGAAGAGAAAGGCCGGTGAGGGAGCTCTGCATGCACAGATGAATGGACAGCGTGACTCACCAGAGAGGGGAAAAAGGCATGTGCCATGGTGAGTTTCTCTACCTTGTCTCGGAGGGAGAAAGTCCCATGAGCACCGGCTGCCAGGAAGCAGTTCTGCACCTTCAGCTGGCCGAGGTTTGCCACAATGACCCTCGGTGACTGTGAGCTCTCTGGGATAAGAATCACGGGAGCACCGGCCTCAATATCCAGCAGAACCCTGGACGCCCGCTGAGGATGATCCCTCACCTGCAGGGAGAGACAGAAAAATCAGACAGGAAGGATGGAGGACAGGATTTACATGGAAGAAGGAGAGGGACAAAAAGAACGGTAGATAGACCACCAGACCCTTTAAGTACTGTGGAGTGAAGACTAGCAGTTTCTTCACCTCCTGCATCAAGTATATCCTGTGTAAAGGTCTCTCTGAGTCATGACTGTCCACAATGAGAAAGCACCTTCTGCTGGTGTCGATTTTTAATTGTATTAAATCGTTTCATCCCTCACCCCCCAGCGTTCTGTACTCACAGTCTGGCCCTCCATTGCCGCCCTCTGCCTGCCGAGGACATCCTGCAGCTGGGTGAAGTGTTGGATGAAGGCCACCACCTCGGCCTGAAAGCGCTGCGTGTGGACGTACTGCACTGAGGCCATCTTCAAAGAGACCCTGATGTCACATTCCCGCTCCAGGTAAGGATCTGGCTCGCCGTACCTAAGTGGATGACAATATTCAGTAAAGGTCATGAAAGATGATCGAATCCTCCTCATTGTTCAGTGTTTGACAAAGTTACTGTCTGTTGAAGCATCTCTGATATTTACTTTTGGATGTTGAAAATCAGAGCCTCCCCTCCTCTTGTGGTGAAGCGCTCTCTGTAGAGATCCCCATGTGGAGTAAGATCGCTCAGGGACAAACTTCCTAAACTTCCCTGTAAGGCCAAGTCTCCATCTGAAATACAATCACAGTGTGGTAACATTAAACATGTACTAACATGGGGGTTCCACTTGAACTCAGAAGTGGGAAATTCAGAGTTGCAGGTCGGATATGTCATCAGGAACGCCTCCTGAAGTCAGACTCAGAAACTTCAGTAGCCGAAGCTGTAAATCCAACATGGCTGCTACGTGCATCAACTGTAAAGTGTAAGCTGTACACTAAAGTGTTTATTGGCAATTCAGTCTTGTTTTATGTAATTAAATCAAACACGCTGATAGCATCGTGCAAGTTCTATATGTGGATGTGTTGTCATGTTGCTTTCAAGTGCAAAGTCTCACGCAGTGCACTGTTATTGCCTGATATAAGCTAACAAAACAAAGGTTCTCCTGGAGGCGTCCATGTTGCTTTTCCAACATGTTGCCAACTCGTTACTGGAAAGCATTCCAGTGCTAATTTCCAGCTCCGACATCCAACTTCCGAGGTCAACGATACACACCATTAATTTAGAAATAAAACTCATTCATGTTAAAGAAAGCAATGTGGTGTGCCCAGTGTGTTTAATCTGACGGATGTTAGGTGCTTCATACATACCTAACATTTCCAGATGAGCAGATAATTTGGAAACACTTGCTCTGGCCAGTTCGTTGAGTTTTTTGTTAAGTACGAGAGACAAAGCGTGAACCTGAAAACAAAATCATAAACTGGTTACGTCACTGAAAATTCACTTCACAGCTGTTTATTCAACTTGTAAACAGAGATATAAAAATAAAGAATTAGACATTTCAGAGGACAATGTGAAAATTTTAGACAGTATCCAATAAAAACCTGCTAAAAAAAAATCAATCTTCTAAATTGCTACTTTAATGTGGCATAAAAAAAATCCTCAATCAATCACACAATACTTCTGTTTAAAAGGCGTTTTTTGTGTTTTTTGGGCCTTTCTAACATAACCTCAAGGCCATTCAGCGCCTCTGTTTTTAGTATTTTTTATGTCACGGTCACATAATATGTCTTTCACCCATCATCTGTTTTCAAAATTAATAATCTGTTGATAATACTGGCAATAACGTTTCTTTCTTTTGACACAAACACCTGAGATATGTAAGATACTTTTAAAGATAACCGCTGTTGATTCTAATCATCAGCCAAAAAATATATATTAAACACATTTTACATACACATTAAAATTTCTGCACATACGTTTTTTTAATTATTATATTTAATAATTTTACTCAGGAGCAGCTTTAAGGACTTGGAGCTTTATGACAGGCTAATGATGACCCGTCAGCTTGCATTGTTTTAACCCGGATCTGAAGAGGTCAACACTAAATACAGCACTTTCTGTAAAGTGTCTTGAGATAACATTTGTAATGCTTTGGCGGCGATACAAATAAAGACTGATTGATTGATTGACTTTACGGTTCTAAATCGGTGTCTGTCTCTGCATGAGTTAAAGGGTCAGCGACCAGAGCTTATGTAAGATTTAGCTGAGCTTGTTTCTCTCACAACTTAAGATGCATGCGTCTGATGATTAAAATCTTTATTGGATTAAATGATGTGACTTTGGTGAAGGGACTTGAAACGCTAAGTAAAACAAGGGGCTGGAAATACTCAAAAGTTTGATGAGCATGCCTCTTACATGCCAGTACGAATATGGTGTGGCACTAAACTGACAGAAAAGGAAGGAGGTCAGATCGTCGTCTTTCAAAGCTGAAGGTGATTTCACCAAGTATTTTTGGTTTGGTACAGTTCTAGAAATTCCTGTTAACTTGACTCATTTCATTTGGACAGCACATCCATTCAAACAAAGTGCAGATCCAGGACCTACCTTCAGGTCCACTTTAGTGTTGACGGCCTCTGTAGTCTCCTCCTCGTCCATGTCCGGCTCATACAGGGGATATCCTGGCACAGGTTGGGGGGACATTGGGTTCACCCTCACTGCGTGATTATTGGCCGTTGAGCCGATACCAAAAAAGTCCAAAATAACCACCCAGGTTTGTAGTGTAATCAGAACGTCCAGGCAGTTAAAGTCGACGTCTATGCTTCGTCCTATGCTGCCGTAGCGCGTTTTGAACTCTGGATGGTTCTGGTCCACAAGCTGCACGTTAATGTGAACTAATGAGTCATCAAAGTCTGGGGGCGGATGAGGGGAGGGTGTGTGGTGGGTAGGAGAAGGAGGTGGAGTACTGGGACAGTCAGGGTCTCTTTTGGATTTGCGGCTGCTAGCTGAAGGAGTGCTGGGATGCCTCTGGTAGAGCTGGAAGACGTTCTGGGCTTCCTCCATGTGGGCGGGCAGTGAGCGGGGCATGTCCGGGCACAAGGCATTAGACGCTGATGGACAACTTTGGGAAAGGTATTCCTTTGGACTGAAGGTGGAGGGCTTGAGAGCTCCACGAGACACCATCAAATGTTTGTACTTAGACTTTGGGTTCTGCTCCAAGAGGTCCTCCATTAGCAGCGAGCGCAGAGCCAGCTGAACCGTCAGCAGGTGAGGGTGGTCTTTGGTGAAGTCTCCCTCCAGGTCTTGGAAGCGCAGACTGACTAAACCCTGAGAGCCCTGAGTCAGGTCAGCACTGAGCTGGACCTGCAGCTCTGCCACGTGTAAGGTGACTTTCAGCTGAGTGAACGAGGGGGAATCGAGAACGGGTTTGTGGGACTGAAGGGGCAAAGGAGAGGGGAGCGACATGTGGGAGAAGCTAACATGAGGAGGGTCTCTCGCAAACAGACCGCCCTGGGGGTCTGGAAAGCGATGATGTCGGGTGGAAGAAGGAGTTGGAGGTGGAGGTGTGGGCGGTTGGCTTGGTGTGACGCGAATCTCCTCGATCAGAGACAAGTTGTCCAGCGTCTGGAGGACTTGTTCGTACACAGGCTTGCAGAGGAACACCTACAGAGTGACAAATAATAAGACAATTAGCAATAGGTTTGTTTTGCCACACTAACATCAGCTACTGTTTGAATCATTCTAGTCGCTCTGCCCTCTTTCAGTTAGGTTATACTTCTGCAAAAACTTTCAGGCAGCTTAAAGGCTTTATATGCGATTTTTTTGATCCCGCAGATGTCGCCCTTGAGCACCAGCATGAAACCAAAACAACTTGCGCTGCATTGTTGTGTTAGCATGCTAATGCTAGCTATCTTTATTATGCTCATATCTTCACACTGCATGTAAATTTACCTGAAATGAGCGTGATCTAGAAACACAGTTAATCAGTGAGTACAGTATGTTATTCTTCTTTTCTCTAGTCCCTCAATTAAACAACGCAAGGGGATGAGCCGGCCGGCTGTCCTGGCGATGTAAACAAAGTGAAGATAGGACTCGGAAAACTCAGAAAGCATCACAGACAGTGTGACTCGGGTGTTACACCCATTGTAGACAGTCATGACTCACAGAGTTATTTCCAGAGGATATACTTGATTTCTATAACATTTAAGTGTGAAAAATCACATATAAAGCCTTTAAAGAGTCTTTCTTAATAAACTTCATGATAAATCTGCAGGACATGCCTTTTAATTAAGACAATGATTTATACAGTGTATACCTGAACAGGGTTGACAAATTTGCCCTCAACTCTCAGTACCCCTGTGCTCTTGAAGGGCTCCTCTGTGGTGAGGAAGGTGAACTGGGTGTCTTCTTCAACAGGAACTTTCTCAATGGTGAACTGTATAGTCGTGTCTTTCAATATGTGGAAGGCTGGAAAAAGAAAATATTTGCAAAGAAAATGTGTCACAAGCTTGTAACAAAGCATTTAGGGAACAATTATCTTCAAAATTAGAAAAGTTCTCACCTTTGCCTCGGCTGAGGGATTCAAAGAAGTCATGACGTGTGAACTGAGGTTCATCCTGACTGATGCTGCCGGTACGGGAGGGTGATGTGTTGGTGACGATGTCCCCTCTTGGTGTCCTCTTCAAAACCAAATGACTCATGTTGAGTGAATACAGTCGAATGTCTTTCACCAACACTTGCAGCTTCTCCCCTTCCGATTCTTGCCCTGTAACAAAGTTCTGGATGGCTATGCTTCCCAGATGACCGACCAACAGCTCCGGGTGTCCAGGTTTACGGGGAATGGACACAACAGGGGATTCAATGCTGACGTTGAGGGTCAGCTTCACAAAGAATGTATCCAGGGTGGGCTCAGGTTCCTCCATGGAAAGATCCTCCTCGTCCTCAAACGGATAATTCCAGCTCTGACTCTGAGTTCGGGATCTCCGCGAGGGAGTCTCAAAGAGCGACACCATACCGCTGTACTCTGCCGTCTTGGATGCTAGAACTGTTGACACTTTGGTGGCGGCACTTTTCAACATGGAGCGGAAATTGTCCTCTACCTCGTTGGCTGACAGACTGAGCTCCTTCAGAAATTTGGCCGAGTGGTTATAGTGCAAGGATGCCATTTCAAGTTTCAAGGAACACTCCCCATGGGATTTCTCCAGAAGGCGGAAGTTCAAAGCCTCTGAGGGGGAACCGGCTGTGTCAGCGAGGAAAGTTAATCCACCAAGAGTCGAGGTGCTGTCCTCAACGCTGCCGATGCTCACAACAAACTGGCTCCGGCCTCCTTCCTGAGTCAAGTCCACCAACTGCATGGACCCGAGTGAACCGTTGATATCTAGCCGACTGCCCATGGACACGTTGACTTTGGTCCCGGTAATGCTAGCAGTGGCAATCTTCAACCCTTTCTTCTCAGCGCCCAGAACGGTGCCAGTTGACACGGTCCGAAGGAGAAGCAGGTTGAGGCGGTGGATCTCGACAGTCAGCTCTTTGTTTTGGTCATATGTGGCCTGATACGTCTCGTCCCCTTCCACCTGGTGAGTTTGTGTTGATTGCGATGATAACATGGGGCTTTCTTCTTTGGGAAAAGACTTCTGAAGGAACTTTAGGAGCTCCACCATGGTCTCAGGATTAAGAATGATGTCCAAGTTGTTGACTTGCATTGTTGTCACCTGGAGGGAACTGTCAAGGTTCATCGAGGGGCAGTCTGAGCTCACAAACTGGTACTCAAGCTTTATCAGGGCCTCCTGGTCTTTCAGAAAGGAACTGAAGGGGGATAGCCTATCAACGCCAGAGGACAACTCAGGAAAGTGGCCCTGATGCTGGGGAGACCTTCCATCGGATGACGCGGGGGATGAAGGCTGGCTCTCCCGGAGGCTGCCTGTGGGTATGTCAAAACTGAGGTGCTTATGAGAAGCGACAAGAAGGTCGAAGTCTGAGCCATAAGTCTGCAAGGTGTCGACCAGAAGAAGACCATGGACAGTCAGAGAGACTTCGGCGTCATAAGGCCGTTTGACAAAATGAGCATTTGTGCCAAATACCTTAAGAACAGATATGTAGCGGCCATCACTCTCCACGCCAAGCTGCATGTAGTTAATGTTGAATTCAGCCAACAGCAGACGGGACTCCACCAGGACTTCCCGCGTGTGCTGCTCTAAAGTCATCACGCTCTGAGTCAGGTTCTTTGCTGAACCCTGCAGCTTCCAGGAGCTGTCGTCTCTCTGAAAGATCTTGTCGCGGCGCAGGGTGAGAGGGTCAGGAGACCTCGCACTTTGCCAACTTTCTTGACCTTTGTCCTCTTCACTTGCAGATGGACTGCTCAGCCTCGCAAAACAGCTCCTGAGGGCGGTCATCTTCTCAAGGTTGATGTGGACCTTGAGGTCCGGCAGGGTCCCCGAGAGCACGGCTCCGGGTAGCTGGGGGTCTGATGTGTAGCGCAGTCTCTGCTCAAGCTGCAGCAGCACATTAAACTTCTCCACCACATGAGTAGGACCTACCTCACTTTCTTGCAAATGTTTCCAGTTGTCCTTACAGCGCCCAACCATTATCTGCAAGTCTTTAAAGGACAAGGAGTACTTCTCATAAAGCTTTCGGCTGTACGCTTGGATACTCTCAGGGGATCTGAGGTTGGGGAGTTCAGTGCTTTTGAGTTGTTCTTTCTGAGGCATGTCTAGTTCAGGGGGTGGGGACTCTGGCGGGGTGCCAAGAGGTGTCTGGAACTCATCGTCGCTCATGTCTTCTCTTTCAGGTTGGGAAGCTTTTGAGCTGATTTTAGTGTCATCTTCAAAGAAAGAGTGTTACAAACAGCTATCGGTTAGAAACGTCTTTCAGATATTTGGGTGTTGTATTTTGGGGGGGAACTGCTTGACTACTTTACCTTGGGAGTTTGTCAGGAGAATTCTGCCCAAATCTACAACAACAAGCATCGGGTCTTCTGACTGGAAGTCATCAGGGAAAATCACCTGGGGCGCACATATGTCCAATTTCATGGTCCAACGCTTACTGTTTTCCTGCAAAAGAATTACACCCATGGTATGAAGACAGCATGAACTGAAATGTATTAAATCATCATACAATCCAAGGAATTTTCCTTACAATAAACTCTCCCACGAGTAGCTGATCGATGGTTTGTCGGATCTCTGCCTTGGTCTGCATCTTCAGTTTGTTATATTGCCTCCTGGCAGCTTCTGCCACTCTCAGCTCCAGCTCCGACTGATAGCCAAAACCTGGTTGTAAATACATTCATTTATGCATACAATATTGCTGCAGATATTCCCAATCCATTCCCAGTCCCAGTCCAAAGTAAATTAGAAACTATGCCAGTGTCATTTGGTTGGAATTACTTGACATGGCCCTCAAGCAGTGTAACAATATCAGCCAATAGTGAAGCAGTTAAAGGTCACATATTATTCTAAATACACTTCATCATAGTCCTCTAACTCACATATCATCACCATGTTCCTCTAACTCTAATGTGCCTCTAGTCTGTCTACAAACCCCCCAATGATGAGAAAAGTCCGTCCTCTTTTGCCTGCTCCACTTTTCAGAAAATGTGTGCTCAAACAGGCCGTTTGGAGATTTTCCCTTTATGACATCACAAAGGGCAGTAACCCCTCCCCCAGGTGGGTGACCCTCCCACAGCTAGTTGTTTGTTCTGCCCTCTGAGTCTGCCTTCTCATCATAAACAATAGGGCATGGAGGGAGACAGCCAGAAACACCCAAGCCCTTTCAGAGAGGGGTCATTTACATTTAAAGCTACAGACACAGAATTGAAGAGATTTTCTTTTGCACGTACCTGAGGTATGCACTCTTCCTTTATAGAAGAACTCTGTCACTTTTTTGATTGCTTGTGGGTTATAGATGATGTTCAACGGACTAGTGTTCACTTCCAGTCTTCTCTCGAACTTGCACCTCACAGGATTACGCTCATAAATCATCTCAAACACGGGCGGCGAAGAGCACTCTACAACACACACAAAAACAAAAGAGGTTATCTGAAAAGAAACAAGACTTTTCACTGGTAGCTGGTGGGAGTATGGTGGGTTGTTTTCATACGATTGCCCACATCTGATTACTCCTACACCTGATCGGCTCAGAGTAGTTTGTTGAGTGTTTTGTGAACAAGAAGCCTTACAGCATCTCCTGGACGACTGCAAGCTTAGATCACTTAAGTCGACAATTTGAGAATTCTAGATGGGCCTGACATTGATCATTACAACTGCCTCTAATAGGGCTTTCAAAGTTGCTGAAAAACTTCTGATATTTTCCGGAGGAGCTGTATGTGTGAATGCAAATAGCCAAATCTTTTACTTAGACTTCACCTGGAGTTTCTCCTGCCAGCCTTCTAGTATTTTTTCTGCAGGAAGTCAGAGTGAGCTGATGTGAGAACACAGCAGGATATCAGTGTTTCCCCTACCATTATATTTATTTATTATTTTTTATTTTTTTAAAGATGTATTTTTGGGCTTTTTGTGCCTTTATTGTAGGGATAGGATAGTGGATATAGTCGGAAATCAGGGAAAGAAGTCATTTAAGGATACCTTTCCAATAGAAAAGGACAGCTGTCATTAAAAGTAACACATGAACACCAAGATTCCTTCAAGTGTTTGTGTCGTCGTGTCGGCTTGTCCCCACCCACCCAACGCTGTAAACCTAGGGGAAACACTGGATATTATCCGGAGAATTCACTGAGAGCCATTAGGAGGGGGGAGTGGCGTTTATATACTGTGACTGCTGCACGTTGCATGGACTGTCTGCATGTGACCGCTGCGATCTCCATGCACGTCCACTACTTCCGCGTCGTTATTTTTTATGTCATGTCTTACCTCGGGAGACCCCCAACCCCCCCTCCCATCTGACAGGGATAGTCTCCCACTGTAAGGAGTATACGTGAACAACCAGATCTGGAGAATATCAGGACCAGTCCTTCTGAAAGTATCTAGATATTTTCAGGAGTGCAGATGTGAAAACGGCTTTAGAGAGAAACAGTCCCCTTCAGTCAGCTTTTTTGCCATGTCTTTGCACGCTTGGGGCAGAACAGTACACTCCTGACAGGGCTCACAATTCAACACTGAGAATATATAAGGTAGTAATGAGGTCACAGGAAGTATTACTAAATATTTAATCACAATATATAATCCAATCACTTTTAAAAGTAGGAAACAAAACTCTTACCAGAGGTATTGCTGGACTGGCACGACTGCTGGTTTGTGGTTAAAACAAGTTTGTCCTACAAGAAGCGACATTATTAAAAACATTAGAAGTGTACAATCAAATATGTGTAAAAAGATTTAAATGTGTACTTAAGTAGTTGTATTTAAGGAACTCCCTGCCCACTTCTTTCCTTTGCGTACCGTTTTGGGAGACACCAGGACGGGGAAGATGGTGCCCTGGGTAGTCAAGTCTCTCAGGAACAAACCGCCCAGCTTAACAGACAGCAGGGACGACTCGGAGCGTGGGAGAGACTCCAACGTCACCTTCACCCCTGTGGAGACGAGGGCACGGTAAATTCAGTCAAGCTGAAAGATTGATAACCGATTCTCACCAACCTAAAAAGCCTCTGCATGTTTCTAATAAGCTCCACGAGCAGAAACGTGCTCAAACTAGGATCAATATTGGAGATGCTTTTGAAAAATGGAGAGAGGTTACAGACCCATGCAGAGCTGGATAAACACTGAAGCTTCAGTGTCCACCACATGGCAACCTGCGTGAGCATCGACTCTAGAGAGGAGGGGGGGAGACAGCTCTCTACAATGTTTAGAATTTAGACTACAGTACCCATTTTAAACACTAGGGGTCAGAGTTACATATTACTCCTTTAAACACTACTTTTTGATAAAACTAGCAAAACATTCACTTCCAAACTGTGAAAAATGAACACCGCCTCTGCATACCTGAGAATTCTAGCTGGATGACGCCGCTCTCGTGCAGTGTGCCCTCCCTCCTGTCCTGGTGAAAGAGAGTAACTCCGCCTTTCTCCAGTAAGAACTCCAGCCGGGCAAACAAGTGATCCCGTCTGGTGAACGTGTTCAGAGTGTGAGAGTCCTCCAGAGGATCAAACAAGTCCTCTGTCTCTGCTGGAGATGGATGAAAACAACAGGGTCAGCAGTCAGAGGGTCAGGTTTGACTTTTTCTACTAATTCAATAAATACATATATGAACAGAATAAGTTATGTGGAAAAATCTCATCGTAGCATCTTCTGCAAGAGTGTGACAACAAGTGTACGTTTCTCACCGAGTATATCCCAGGAGGACGGACTTGGCAGGAGATCTTCAGGCCTGTCTGGGTACTGAGACTCTCCATACCAGCCTCCCCAGCCCGGAAACCAGGACTGCAGGTACGTGATCATCCCCGAGCTGTCACTCTTGGGGATGGATGCAGGAGGTGGACAGGGCTGGACATCGCTGCTGGGCTCTCGCACATTCTGGAAGAGGGGACAAAGGAAGAACACGGGGTAAATCTTTAACAAAGCCACATTAAGTAGATGCATGATATTTGATTTTAAACAGGATTTAAATCAAGAATAGGAGCACATTTGTTTTCCCTGAAGGCAACAAAAACAGATTTTAACCACCGAACGAATCCTCGAAGCTCACCTCTGCGATCTCTTCCTGCTTTCGAAACCAGTCGTGGACGATCTCTCGGAGACTCTGCAGCTCCTCCAACGTCTGCTCCTCCTCAACACGCTCCAGTTCGCTCTGTTTGACAAACAACAAAAAGTAGACATCAGGTCAGTAATGTGTGTTGAAAGGACGGCGTCTCAAAACCATAGACTGTAAATATTGGTCAAAACAGAGGAGTGCATAGAACCGAGTCTCCAACTTGTTCCCCCATTCACTTGCTGAGACATTATGGAAATAAGAAGTCAACAAACCATGACAAGGTAATTACTGTTAGAAGGATAATTAGAGTAAACATCTCCCTTCAAACCTTTTCAACAGCAGATTGGGAGAGGGGGGCATGAACATCTTCTTCCATTCCTCTCAAGCTCTATTTCAATTTTTCTTTACTTTTTTAGAACAATTAAGTGCAAGAAAATTAGAGCCTTTTAGAGCCCTAAAATTATATCCTTACTGGCCTTGGAACTCCAGGAGGAGCTGGAAAACGTTGCTGAGGAGAGGGAAGAAGATGATTGATGGATGGATGCTTTGAAGGTTAGGATTTTTTGCCTTGTTGGATCCTTACTTTTTGGAAAACTGAACTTAATAAATCCAGGCATGCTACAAGGCTAAGAACCAGACGGGCTGGTCAGCAACTGCTACAGTAATCTACAAGGATTTTCATGCACAACCATCTCAAGGGTTTACAGAGACTGGCCCGAAAAAAGAGAAAATATCCAGTGAACGGCAGTTCTCTGGGCGGAAAAAGCCTTATTAATGCCAGAGGTCAGAGGAGAATGGCTAGACCGGTTCGAGCTGATAGAAAGGCAGTAACTCAAATAACCCCTTGTTACAACCGAGGTCCCTGAACTAACTGAGCATCATTTAATTTCCAAAGCCTAACTGAGCATTGTTGCTGACCATGTCCAACCCTTTATGACCACAGTGTACCGCTCACAAAGCTCACATCATCTCAAACTGGTTTCTTGAACATGACAATGAGTTCACTGTACTCAAACGGCCTCCACAGTCACCAGATCTCGATCCAATAGAGTCAATGACAATATCATGTCATTAAATGTTTCCAGCACCTTGTTGAATCTATGCCAGGAAGAATTAACGCAGTTCTGAAGGCAAAAGGGGGTCCAACCCGGGATAGCAAGGTGTTCCTTATAAAGTTGCGATGAGTGTATTTATTGATTACATGTTTTTTGATACTTTATTGTGTGTGTGTCTGAGTGCTGTACCTCCTCCTGAGGACTCAGTGGGACTCCTTTGAGCCTCCTGAAGTAGAGGCTGGTGTACGTCTGAGCGTCTCGTGCTCGCTGCAGGGCAAAGTCCCAGCTGCCTCGCCGTCTCTGCTCCCTGATTTCATTCAGATTGGCCTGGATGGCAAACATCCACCACTGCCGGCAGCTGCAGGACGAACAATGTGACAGATTCAAAGATTAAAAGCTTTATTACACAAACAATTATTGTTCTGCACGGTGACCTGCTCTCCAGGCTGACCAGAAGGCTGGAGTGAAAAAATAAGACTGCTGGATTTCTATGTTTGGACTTTTTAGTTGAATGCTTTTGAAGAAGTTTGTAAATTTAAGAAAGTCAGCTGGCTGTTAGCCCGGAGTTACTGTGTTGACCTACTTTCCAGTGATAGGGACTTTGGGCCTCCACTTCCTGTAAAGCATCTCTCGCTCCCGCCGGTCCAGCTCTTTCAGGAACGCCATGATCTGCTGGTACTGGATCTAACAAACGCACAGACACACAGTCAGTGATCTGTCTGCATGCTCCTCTGACATAAAGCGATTAGTGGAATATTAGTATCTGCCAGATGTAACACAGGTGGCTATTTAAAGGACGATAAAATTAAATTATACTGTAAATAGCAGGGACTGTCCAACTTCAAAGATGAAAAAAAACCCTCTCATGGTCATGTGTTCATACAGACCTGCGACAGGCGTAAGGACATGGGCTCCAGCTGAACTTGGCCCTCGATCCGCGGCGTGTTTCTGGACCTCAGAGGCTCCTTGGAGGTGTTTCTTCTGAGCAGCACGGATGCACACACCGGTTCAAAGATATACTGATGCTCACGGCTCTGCATGCACTGGGTCATCGCTTCCTGCAGCGTTACAAAATATGACTACTCAGACAAAAACGATCTGTTGGAGACTTCATAACCCTGGGTGATGCATCAAATCGCTCTCATCATTACAGAGACATTCCAACGCCAAGGGATGCATGTCTTGCAGTGCCTAACCAAGCAACTGTTCTTTATTTCTTTTATGTTCAAGGTCACATATCATATAAAACACACTTCACCATGTTCCTCTAACACTAACATGTGTCTCTAGTCTGTCTACAAACCCCCAATGATGAGAAAAGTCCATCCTCTACATCTTTTGTCTGCTCCACTTTTCAGAAAATGTGTGCTCAAACAGGCTGTTTGGAGATTTTCCCTTCATGACATCACAAAGGGCAGTAACCCCTCCCCCAGGTGGGTGACACTCCCACAGCTAGGTGTTTGTTCTGCCCTCTGAGTCTGCCTTCTCACCGTAAACAATAGGACATGGAGCAAGAAAGACAGAGTACACCCAAGCCCTTCCAGAGAGGGGGCGTGGTGAGACACAGCTCATTTACATATTTAAAGGTACAGACACAGAAACAGCTTGTTCTGAGCAGGGCTGAAATAGAGGGGTTTATAGTCATGATCAAATACAGGATCAGAGTGGATTTAGATCAAGAAACTTCACACACGTTTTGAGGAGCTCTGAGACTTATTTACACTGGTTGAAGAGGAGAAGAATATGTGATCTTTGAACTTAGAAATGATGGCCCTTGCACAAAAAAAATATCTAAAGTCATGTTGGCAAAAACTTTAGCAGCCTGTCCTGTTATTCTGCATAATACAGAATGCTCCATGGTTATTTGAGGTTATTTTTCAGCTTCTTACAGTAAAACACATCTCACTCTAAGTACAAACAACAAATCAATATTTTCCAACACTGCATGCTGCGTTGTGCTGCTCCAGTGTCTGTATTCTGGAGTCTGTACGGTTCAGTTGGGTCAGTCATAATTGAGGACAATCCCTGTCATAAACAAAAGCGTACTGAATCTGCAGAGTGCAGTCCAGGCCTGAGCTCTCGTACTGCACGGAGAGCTGCCTCCTAACTGTTAAAGGTCACTGACCTGGATCTGATTCGCGGGCAGCTTTCCCAGCATCTCACATTCTGTGTCCCAGTAGACGCTGAAGTCCTCGATCTCCAGCTGCTTCTGTCGGAGGAGCCTCTGCACCTGTGAAGGGAAATCCCAGTTTATCTCAAATCTTCTTCGTTCTACTGAGACAGCAGATTACAGGACAGCATAGTCTAATAAATATGACATACTGAGAAAGAAAAGCTACCGAGTTATCATGACAAGAAAGAAGATAAAGAAACCTGCCATTTACCGAAAAACAGAAAGTGTGAAATACAGAAAGGAGGAATTAAATGGGACACCTGCTCTCATAATGTCAGTGATATTTTAATTGATAAAGCCTTAAAATAAATCTGTTATTCTGAGTTGTCGACGTAATCCCTGGACGTGGGTTCCTGCAGCTCTGAACGAGACCTAACAAGAATTTTACAAGACTTGGCCAGAACCCGACGTCAGGTTCTGCCGACATATTAGAGCAAAGCATGGAGCAAAGTTGTAGGACATGCCCACCCTGGAAGCTCACTCAAATATCCCTGCGACTGCAAACAGACCCGGCCAATCAGAGGAAAGTGGGCACGTTGGGTCTTAAAGAGACAGTAGCTGAAATGAAGCTTTTCAGGCAGAGGCTGAGATGAGGGTTTTTACTGACCCATTATCCGATAAATAAGGAGGTTTATGAGCTACACGTCTCACAATGCTACTAAACATGTGTCCCAGACTGACATGATAAATGGTTAAAGCGAGTTTAATAGATCTCCTTTAATGAAATGGAATGAGCTCTTGTTTCTAGTAATATAGTTTAAAATGCCTTTTAGCGATCTCTTACCGACTCTTTGGAAGGATTCTGAGCTGAAACGTTGTTGATGCAAACCCCAAAGGAAAAGGGTTTCTCTGGGTTGGAGAAGTCGTCCTCAAATCGAAGATGCACATCTTGGATTTTCAGCTAAAAACAAGCCGGAAAAAAACAGAGCTTAGTCAGTAACTCAGAGTCCAAATGGATACTTAAACACATATATCATTATATCATGAAACAGTCCAAGCTGAGGTATTCAATGTTAGAAGGTTTACCTCGATGTTTTCCACGATCCTGGTGACCACTGAGGCGGTGGCGGAGTACCAGTAAGACTCTCCTCTCTGATCACACTCACTCTGCAGGAGACAGACACAGACCATCATTTATACTGCACCTCATGGAGAGCTGCTTTAATAGCAAAGATTCTTCTAAGCTGCAGAGTCGGGAGGAGCGGGGATGCACATCTCTACCCAGCTTGGAGAAGTGTAGTGGGTTCACATCGACCGATTTCCAATCATTGCATAACCTCTACAGAACTGGTGTCATTAAAAACTATGCAGCACAAATACAATGACTTTGAGTCTTTAGCTTCTCTATTGTCCCTGAGAGTCTGTGATGCTCATTACAGACCAGGAAGCTACATCAGGTCACATTTTCTGACCTGAACTTTTAATCCACCTACTTTGAATTTGTCTTCGAGAGCCCTGAGGAGGCGTTTTTTGCGCTCGCTCTCCTCCTCCTTCTCCTTCTCTGCGTCGTACTCCTGCAGCTGGGCGGGGCCGATGATCAGGTTGAGCTGGGACATGGAGATGACCCACGGGTCGCTGTGAGGCCGGTAGAAAGGGATCTGCAGAGTAATCTTTCCGATGAAGCCTGGTGAAAACAACAGAGCGCTCAGGTTACACAAAAAGAAAACTCAAGGCCGAGGTCATTCTGGATAATCTCATTCTGGATAATCCCAGCGATGTATAGACATTTAAACTGCTCAATGAGAATGAACCTGTGATGCTGGTTGTGTTCAAACCTGGAGCTTTTCTTCATTGTATAAAACTGTAACTGCTCACAATAAATTACATTCTTTCTGTCTCGTTTTTAGCATTTCCTACAACTCTATATATTTAGTCATAAAGTTTATCCTGCATGTAATTCAAAATCTGGTCATAGTAGTTCTGTTGTGTATGTTGTAACTTCCTATAGAGTAAATAAATTAGATCCAAAAAACAAAAAGGGGAAACAACTACAAAAGAATACACATGCAAAAAAAAAAAGTCAAATATTGGAGTCCTAAAGCAAAGTTTCCCCAGATTAAATATTGTGACGACCCCTCCACACCAATAGGAGTTCCTGTGTTGCTTGTTTTTGTTTCTGTTGTAGGTTCCGGTCAAGGCAGGGTCACTATCAGGGGATGAGGACTACACCTGGGTCCAGTAAAGTCCTCATCCTCGTGTGTGTGTGTGTGTGTGAACATGGCGGTGTGGCTGCTCCTTTTTTGTATCACAATTTATTTCATTATGTTGTCAATAAATTCTGGTGTGTTTTTTATTTTTTATAAACCTCGCCTTCAACTCCTATTTGTGTTGCAGCCTAAGAGCTTAGTTGTAACATGACATGTCTATAAAAATGAAACAGTTGAATGCTGGACAATATGATAAATAAGGGTCCCTTTCATTGGCATATAAGGTTCTTTTTTCCCTCTCTGACACACGACTGTCGATTACAGATGTAAGTCTTTTTACTTTCTCTTCACAAGCTCCTCTTGAGATATCCATCAGCGTTATTTTGTTCCTGCAGTGAAAGAGCATGCATGCATGAAGAATGCTGCTCTGACACAATGACATTAAAGCTCACGTCACCAGACGAGAAAATCCTGATTTGATTTCTTATGGACGGGACACACCGACAGGTTCAGAAGAGAGGGGGTAAAGTCAGAGACACAAACTGTCTGACACTCTGCATGTTAGGCTGTCTTTGTTTCTGTCTCCTCTCTGCAGGATTATGAGATGAAAGAATTTCAATCCTTAAGGAGACCCAAATCTAAGAATGTCATTTCAAAGTTAATAAATGGTAAATGGATTTGAACTTGTTTAGTTCTTTCCTCGTCTTCCGACTACTCAAGCTCTTTTAAACCGCAGGTCACACCTACACATTCACACACTGATGGAAGAGGCTGCTGTGTCAAGCAGCAGGAGAAACTTGGGGTTAAGTGTCTTGCCCAAGGACACATCGGACATGTTGCTGCAAGAGTTGGGAATCGAACCCTCGACCGTCCAGCTGAGAGACAACCGACTCTACCAACTGAGCCACAGCTGCCCGGCACAAACTAATAATACTCTGTCTGGAGAATTTGCAAAGCTCAAAAAAAGTCTGACAAGATTTGACATATTGCACAACATACATCTTTGTCTGTCTTCTAATTCTAAATATTTGATGTTAACATTTAAAAATGAGAATATTAAAATGTGAAATAAACAACATGTGTTAGTAACTGAGTGTATGATTCATGAAATGACCTTTCTTTTAAGTCCATGTGGAACCCTGACTCTGTACATCATGAAGCAGAGGATTTTATGTTATTACAGATGAGTAAAGTTTTGATTGGTCAATGAGATCCTCCTGCTCACTGCGTGCCTGAATGTCTGAAGCACACAGCTCCAGAGGAGTATTCTTGAGGGATTCTACCTGGACCAATCAAAAGTGGTTCATCTGAGGACAGTACCTGTTCAATAAATCTGCAGCCCTTTTACCTTTAGGGGGAAATTTGTGTTCAATCTTTGTGAGAATGTAAATGAGTCGATCTTACCTGCTTTGACTTCAAAGGGCAGGTCAAACTCCTGGAGGGCATCTTTTCTTAAAGGGAGATTCTCCAGCTCGACCGCACCTGAGAAACAACAGGAAATACACAAATACTGATTTCAAGAGGAGAGGAAGAGGATTGATGAGACAGGATGAAGAATGGTCGGACAGAATATGCTCGTTTATAAAGACTGTTTTGAGACAGGATTTGACAAATGGAGAGAGAGAGTCAATGTTATGGATGCCTGGTGGGATGGAGTTCCTGAGGCTGAGCTTCTGAATGCTCTGGACCCCATGGTGGTCAGGTGGGCAGGTGCATGGTGCAGGGAGTTGAATTGAAGAAGGAGTCCTGAGAGTACAGGTGGGTGTGTTGGTGTGCAGGAGTTCAGAGAGGTTATACCACCATCCATTTTTTGTCAAATTACTTTTAAAGAGGAGGGTGGGAGTGTCTTAATCCAAATGAGTGACCAAGGAAAGAAGGTGTTTTATGCCCTGCAGACAGACTGTAAGGACTTCTGAGGCAGGTTGATATTTGTGACGTTCAATACAATAGAAAATGTTTTGAACTAAACGTCAGAAGTCAGTTCTTTGTGCTTATTTATCACAATGTGAAAAGTGAACAAAGCAGCACCTGTTAAACTGGTTAAGCCCTGAGAAGAGTCAACAGCATATGTGTGTAGAGAATCATCAACATAGTTCAAGTCTTAGTGACGCCTGCAGCCTTTGGTCTTAAAATGCTGGATTCAAATTAACTTGCATGGACTTAAAATGTCCTCTCATTCATCAAGAGGAAGAGGAGGGAGGAGAAAGCGTTCATACATGCACTGCAGCCTGTTTTGTAAAGTTATCAGAAATGAAAGCATGTGATATTACCTTTCAGGAGGGCGATGGAGAGCTGATCTGTGTTCAGGTTGCTGACATACTTTCCGAGGTATGTGTTCAGCACCCAGGCAACGAGACCTTCCAACATCCTGCCGGCTCGAGGATGATGACAGCCACTCCTGGGAAATCACCTCCGGGTGGTCGCCCCCACAGGGGTGTGTTCAAAGTCTGATAAACCCAACAAACACACACACACACACACACATATTATTCCTCTGATGAGAGAGAGTGAGGCAGTAAGTTGCTACTTTAAAAGTAAGGTTGTCAAACTTTTCAGCACTCTTTACAAACATGTTGAGGTCTCTGACCCTAATCTGAACTATTACCAACAAACCAGAGATACAGGTCCCCATGTTTTCATAGATCAGGTCAGACTGAAGCCCTCTTTTGTACAACAGTCACCCTTACATTAAACCTGGAGCTAAATCAGAGACTCAACCGCTTTGAAGGCCTCTGAATATTCGTTTGGAATTTCAAAGTTGTGTCAAATGTTTGTATTTTGACTTTAATTTTTTATATTACAAATGGAGCCGCCGAGATGCAAAACAGTTTTACACTTGGTCTTCATCAGATACACAATGTTAGTTATTTTAACGATCAACATTGAAATGTACTGCCACTTTAATAAACTACATCTTCATCATAAGACAGTTGCATCAGAGAGGAATAAATGCATCCAAAATTGCACAAAAAATATTGGCAACGTTGTACCAAAAAAAAAGTTGTTTTTGTGGAATTTAGAAAGTGTGCAGGAGTCCACCTGCTATTTACCTTGATGTGTTTTAAAGCAGGCATCTAATGTATATCGATTTTTACCAGCATTGTATCAAGATTTAAAATAAAAAATGAAACTAGTTCAAACTGAAAGCAAAACCCTCTTGTTTAGAAAAGCTTTCATCATGATGCTAGTACATGGTTAAATGAATATATCGCACACAGCAAATGTGTGACACACCCAGAGTGCACACAATGACCTCTAGAGACGTTCAATAATCGATAAAGTCGATCAATTCAGCTTTTAAGACAGAAGGATACTGCTGAACAAAACAAAGCGTTTAAAAGCATGGTATCACAACAACCCTATCTGAAACTGAAAGCAAAACACTGATAAGTAAAGCGATCATGATTTTAGCACACTGTGAAATCAAGTATTTTTACGTTTCTTTGCACACGGGAAATATGACTTTAGAGACGTTCAATAATCATTCTCAGAAGGACACAGCTGAATAAAAGCTCAACTTTCCGATTATTCATGATGACTCCTGAACTAACGGCAATGAACAAAAAGTGGCAACGTTATCCACAAATCCGAAACTAACACTAGAGAGTTGTATTTGGCAGCAGACACAACACTGTAACTGAGTGACAGAGATTTATCACAGTGGGCAGATTACACAAGGTTGAATTACCTTTCAGACGTTGGCAGGGTGACAAAAACTTTAAGATGGTTAATTAAAGTTAGCAGCTAGCATCATAACAGAATAGAATAATGAATTACTTTAATATGAGTAAAAAAAACACAATATTAGCAAATCTAAACACAATATAATATTAAATACAAAGTAAATAAGCAGTAAAAATATCAAAACTAAGAATGGGAATATATACAACCAGGATTTAATTAAGCATTACTAGTCTTAAATAGGGTAAAACAGAGTTGTAAATGGACAGTATTGAAGTTATGAGTGTAGACATATAATAAGCAGAAACTAAACAATATAACTGCGAGTAGACAGAGAAATGAAGTGAACATGATACCACTACTAATGATGTTTTTATGTATACACACAGCAGTGTTATTAACTGGACTCACCGCCAAAGACGACAGTTTTAGCCCTTCATGGATTTATCGACCCATCTTCACTGAGTCCATGTCGCTGCCAGCTTAATGCCACGACCAGTAGGTGGTCATGTCCTGTCAAACCACTAAGGACAGGACCAGTTAGCGTGACAAAAACACAGACGACTGTCAGTGCTTCCACATCAACTTCCAGACTGCAGTTAATGTAGGATTCAGGGTACAGTACGATCAACTTCTTGTGCAGCTTTTCACCTCAACACGCAGCGTGGTTTACGTGACGGACAGAGGCAAGGTTGTGATCCAACTTAGCTAGCCACTTAGCTACAAACTAGCATGCGCAGGTTGAGCGGAGAAATACACACAAACAAACAGACAGCTGGCGGTCAAACTGAGGCTGAGGTCAAGCGGTCGTTTTCACAGAAAACAAAGTAAATCCTCCCAGGATGTTGAAGTAGTCAGGGGGAATTCAGAGACCTCGGAGTTGTGTGTGTCGCTGCTTCGTAAATAAACGCACTTCCTACTAGCGCTGAACTTCCAACACACACTTCCGGTCATGTGACCAAAACAAACCATTCCACTCGTGTTGTGTTTAAATGAATCGGGATAAAAGAGCATTTCAACAATCTACCGTTAGATAAAACGATAAAAGATGCGTTTTTTACTTTAAATTTAGGGATTATTTATTATCTTTATCTGAGAAATTGAAATTAGGCTTGGATGGGACACGTCAAAATATTTGTCTCGCGGTTTAACCTCTTTTTTTATTTCACATTGATAATGAAAAGTGTATAACTTAATCATGTAATATTTTACAGGTACGTTTATTATTAAGTGGACTCATTACTAACATACTCGATGAATCCCTGGAACATTAAATGACTAACAGGAGTTTCAACCAGGAAATAATCATGTTGATATATTTTTTCAGTACACTGCAAGGCATGGGACAAAAATGACCATAAACACACCATGGGCTTACCAGATTTACTAAGCTCCCAATTAAAGAGTACTAAATTGCGTGTTCACTCCAAAAGTTTGCACGTTTGGTTGGTGAGCGTTTTGCGGGTGATCTACTAAGAAAATTTGCGTGAATGACACCAGGTGCAAACCTTGTGGAGGCGGTACTATTTAAGTTAGGTTTTTGCGTGTTCTACTGGTTTACATCACGGAGAGTTTGGACAGAAAGCAGGATGACTGCAAGCGCAAAATAGGTATTAGTGAGAGAGGCAAATAAACGCACAATACTTTCGAGTTATAGGAGATAAATCTGAATATTACAAAGAAAATTTTGGTTACAAGAAAATATCTCGAGGGAGGTGACGCGCGCATTATGGAGAGGAGCGCACAAGAGGGGGCGAGCTGGGGGAGAGACGTGTAGCCCGAGAAAAAGGAAATCCCCAGTTTAAAATGTAATGTTGGTGAAAAGAGGGAAATAGAAAGACATAAATGTCAATGTTGAAATTCTATAGAATGCAGAGGCTGTGGATGTTCAGTTTTGTTTAGATATATTTATGGCAACAATAGCCTGTAGTTTAATCATGGTGTTTCTCTGCCTTAACGATTAGAATATTGAATCAAATTAAAAAACAAATGCATGCCATTTATTTTTCTGTCATTTGAAACATAAACACGTGGGGAAAAACGCGATCTTTATGCTTTCTTTTGTTGTGCCTATGTCTCCTCACTACAATAACAGCAGCCTGTTGTGCGTAATGCTGGTCTCCTGGATTAGCACGTTCCTTTCAAAGGTGTTAAATTCAGACACCGTCACAATCACCGCAATTTTTGTCAGGTTTGGTGAATCTCAATGCGTGTACTAACTTAAGTTGTTTGCATTTTCTCCTCCCAGTATTTTGCACGTTAGGGCAGAAACGCCCCAGATTGCATATTCATTAAGTCAAACATACTAAATGGACAATGCGTGTTGTTTTGCTCATTTGAAAGACACAATCGTCACTGACATGAGACGTTTTAAGACACGCAAACCTTTAGTAAATCTGGCCCCATGAGTTCATCACTAGCAACGATAAGTAAATCGTCGTTTCCTCCAAGAGGGGGCGCTGTTTACTGGGACCCGCTGGAACCTGCATTACACAGCCTGTAGTATCTCACTGTGGGACACCTCAGATGAAAAATGTAACAAATACAACTTGTGAAAGTGGCCCAAATGTACACAGAACTACAAACAGTAAAATGGAAAAAAAATCATAACACACACATTTCAGAGGGCATGTTTCCTCTCTGACTCAAGTGTTTGAGATATTGCCTTCACAGTTTCTTCACCCAATTGCAAAACAATTGAGGGGGTCATGACCTAGTCTAAGATGTTTTTGTATCAAGTAAAGATAAAAATTGTGACAAAAAAGCTTCTCAGCTGTGAGGAGTCAGAAACCCATCAGGGGGACATTTATGGTAACTCCAATGTTTGCTAAGCAGTAAAATGTTACTACCCCATATGTCAAAGAGCTAATGGACTATTAAACTATCCTGGTTACTAAGTGGTTCAAGCCCTTGATCAGAACCAATAAAGACCAGTAATAAAGAAAAAACAAACTATGAAAGTGAGCCGGTGTGGTCATTTAATCGGTAAAGGGACCATAAACCTTTCAGTGAATATGTACTTGTATATCATTGCAAAGTTAGGCAGAGAATAAAGTGTCCTGGAACATGCAGCAGTGCTTTGTGTGATGTTGATTGAAGTGGACTCAGAGGAGGAGGAGCCCTGAGATTTCTGGAGCCACTGAGTCAATAGAGGAGGACTCACTGAACATCACTGCAGCTCCATTTATTTTACAGTTTTTTACAAGTTTGGCTCTTTGAGGTCCCATTTCAGAGTCTTTATTTTTCTTGAAAATGTACAGACAAACATGCACAGACCTTACATTTGTTCTCTTGAAGGTGAACCTTTTTGGTGAATCTGGAGTTTATCATTTTAGGGACTTTTCTGTCTCAGAGACATGTTTCATTTTAATGTTATTTTATGTGTTTCTGGCATACATTCTTGATTATCTAAGTACAGCTCTAAGAATAATCAAACATAATTAATTGGTGTTTATAAATGGACTTGAGCTTGTTTAGTTATTTTCTAGTCTTCCGACTACTCAAAGCTCTTTTACACCGCAGGTCACACCTACACATTCACACACTGATGGTAGAGGCTGCTGAGTCAGAAGTAACTCATCCATTCACACACATCCAACGAAGCAGCAGGAGCAACTAGTGTCTCGCCCAAGGACACATCGGACATGTGGCTGCAGGAGCTGGGGATATAATCGAACCCTGCTTTCCGGTTGACAGACGAC